AATTTTGATATATACTAATAAACTCCCCTAACTCTCTCGGGGTACACAACAGACTCTACTGTTGCACAGTATATTACTGGACGAAGCCACCCCGCTGATTTGAATGGAGAGCAGTGAAGCCAGTTTTGGACCAATAAAATATTACTACAGGGCCACTTCCTGTTGGCACCAGCGTGTGTTTGTGTGACTCGGATCGTCACTGATTAATCAGCCCAGCTACGAGGCTCACCTGCCAAACACCAAAGCAGCGTCTCTGATTGCTCTCATAGTTTTTTTTGATTGCTGAGAGTTCATCTCTCTCACATCTCTCATGTGCGACGGGGTGTCACATGGATCCCTCCATGCAGGCTTTGGTCAGGTTCACTGTCCGATCTCTGGGTTCTTGTTATACCCTTCAGTGTTACACTCACACTTGTCCTCCATAAAACATTAGGTAGGAACTAAAAGTACCCTGAGGCAAGATAACATGTATAAGTAACGTAAATGTTACATGTTAATAGGGCTGTGTCACAACTATAATGACTAATAACTATGGCAGTAATAATAACAACCTAAAATTCTGCAGCAGTCCAAAATAATAAAGTGGAATTGTTACACAACATAACTGACTGTGATAAGGTTACAATGGTGGAAAAAGCTACTCCGCTACAGATATTCTCAAGCTGCCATTTTTGTCCTGCCAGCCTCCCGTGAGCAGGCCATCATCATTCGTGGACTGGAGTCTTTCTCTTCAATTTCCTGCATCCGTTTCCGACCCTACCAGGATGGTGATCATGAGTGGCTGAGCATCGAGTCCAGGGACGGGTGAGGCTCTGACTATAATTTGCGTATTGCAGCTTTAAAGCATCTCAGTTCTCCTTTCAATTCCCTTATAATGAAACACAGATTCATTTCCGTTTCATTAACTACAGAAAGTATATTAGACTATTTTCCACTGGATTTAACAACAAATGCTGCTGGCATGTTTGCGGTCTTAAACATTTTAAGCAGCCACTGATAGTTACTAGTGACCAGTAGAATAAGATGTTCATATTTGAATAGAAGAGATCTGACAGGATGCAGCATATAATCAAATGGATACTTGTTGCATTGCTCTTCTAAACTGAAGACTGAAGAGCAACAATTGATGATATGTTGTGTAATTTCTAACAACTGCTCTGTGTTAATGTGTCCACAGCTGCTACTCCTGGGTGGGTCGTCAGGGCGGAAGTCAGACTGTGTCTCTGAGCCGCCAGGGCTGTCTGTACCACAGCACCGTCCAGCATGAGCTGCTCCACGCCCTCGGCTTCAACCATGAACAGACCCGCTCTGACAGGGACAGCTACATCAGGGTGAACTGGGAAAACATAATTGATGGTTAGATGGTTTCACCATCTATTACATGACCTGTATTGTGTTTGATCTTCAAAGAAATCTTAGAGGCAGAGCTTCTGTAGAGGTGTCATTGCTTGAGTTAAACCTGAAAAACAGGGGGAAAGATAGAAATAAAACTCAGAAAGAAGAATGTCCTGGCTGTTCCAGTCAGCAGAAATCAAGAGAAAAAAATTCAACATTTAATAGAGGAGGGAGCTCTGAAGCTACTGACTCTGACAGAACCTTAAACAGTGGTGAAAAGGGAGGAGGTGTGGATGGAAGTGAAGCAGGATGAGCATAATCACTGTCTAGGGGCCATCATAAGCATTTCAGTATTAGCTTCATTATTCAGCTGTGGTAGTTGTCTGTAGAAAGTGTAAGCTGATTATTACAATACGTGGTTTACATTTGGCATCCTGAAAAACTGCTGGTTATTTTTTTCTGTCTGTCTGTGCTTTTACGTACATTTTCTCTCTCGCCTCGGCAGGCATGGCGTACAACTTCGACAAGATTAACACCCTGAACCAGGGAACTCCATATGACTACAACTCTGTCATGCAGTATGAAAAGTATGGATAACCTCATGTTTGTGTCATTTACTGTTTATGTTCAAGTGACCTCCCTTGCACATGAGTGTTTGTGTTTGATTTTTAGATGTGTTTCTTTGTACGTTTCTGAATACGTTCATCTTAGCAGCCTACGCGCCTACATGAGCTACTGCCATGACTAGCACGCCAAAGTGGAGGCTCGGCTAATTCAGAGCTTACTGATTGACTTTGGGGAAGCCCACTGTCTACATAGGACTAGGCCTGTACAAGAGATTGTTTATCTGTGACTCTGGGGAAGTAGTATAACCAACGTGAATCTTTTTTTAACATCAATGAACTAAAATCACCAGAAGCATCAGGGACCGCTTCCCTCTGCATAATTTAAAGCCAAGCTCATCCATCTTTGCATTGTGGTACCTGTGATTCTCCAGGTATGCCTTCTCCAAGAACAACCGTCCCACTATGGAGCCCATTCCCAACGCCAATGTGCCTTTCGGCCAGGCCACCCAGATGAGCAAGAATGACATTGAGAGGCTGAACAGGCTGTACAAGTGCTGTAAGTATTCTGAGCCTTAGCTGGATCGAAGACAAACTTACAAAAACAAGAAAGAACACACACAGACTCACAATAAAGTCGACTGAGAGCAAAATCAATTCATTTGGACAACATTTTCAAGTCTGTCTTAAAACAATACTCATGTGTCCGTCAGTACACTGAAACTGTTTTTGCTTGCTTAAACTTACTTCTTTTTAGTATGAAGTTCTCTCGTGTGATACTGTCAGTCCGCTGCAGCTCAGTGAGGAAACACTTTCCAGGAGACACTCTCTTCCCAAGAACAACATCATGTTTGTGTTTAAGTGACAGCATCCTCTAGTGGTTGTAGGAATAATGGTTGGAACAAAGGAGGAAGTCAGGCGGTTATAGAGTGTAGGGAGGAGGGCGGGGTGGATGGATGGCACAAAAAAGTTTCCTGTTTCCAACTGACAGTCAATGTGGGTTTCTTTATTTCTTGATTGTTCCCTAACCATGTGTTTTTACTGTAACTATGACAACGATGCTCCCATAACTTTAATGAAGTAGACATTTTAACCCAAACCACAATGTTTTTATAGTCCTAAGCAATTGTTGTTGTTTTGTTTTTTTGCCTAAACCTAACGAGAGCTGAAAGCAACAACCAATGTCTGAGTGAGCGGAAAAATCCATCCAACTACTCAGAACCATCTAGAAATTACTTACATTACGTACATGTCAGCTGTTGTGCAATTGGGAGAAAATAATATCTAGAGGGGATATATATAAAAATACAGCTTTAAAGAAATGTAACAGATTACTACCCTTGTTACACTTTGGATTATTTGGATGACATCTTGGGACTGTGGACAATAGCTGCTTTTGATGAATTTGTAACTTTAAACACATCATCCACAGATAAAACTCAAACATAATCTACTGATACAAAATGTAGACTTTTTTGACTCCCAGGTTTTATTCACAAATTTCTGCGGAGAAACCAAACAACTGGTCACTAAAGTCTACTTAAGATATAGATAGATTCAACCTTATTGTCCCATGTTTTTGTGTCTATGTGACACACTCTGCAGCAGCAAGACAGGGCTGCAACGCAGTGGCACCCCGTCAAAGTACATCTACTAAAGTGCTTGTTCTTGTCACTGACAGGCTCAGATAACTGTGTGACAACATTGTGGAGAGAATCCGTACTAAAGAAGAGTAAGATCATTTTTGTTGATGTGACTACACGAAAGTTTTTCAATGAAATTAATGAAATTTTCGTCAAAACTCACATAGAAATGAAGCACACGCCTGTTTTCTCCGTTGCTGCATCAGCCACTATTCTGCTTTTAATGTGAGGTCTCCGGTGTTCTGTCGATTTATGCACAAGCGTGGTCTGTTTCCACGCCCATAAATCTGTGCGAGAAAGTGGCTGATCAGTCAATATCTGTCAGTAATATAAAAAACAGATGATGTCATAATTCTGTGAGAGTTATAACTTTATGGGATTGAAAAAGGGAACACATAAAGTAGCATTTTTCGATAGGGTAGCATAGATCGCCAGAACACCGGTGTTGATCTGCCTCTGAGACGGGAACGTTGAAGTAACAGAGCCTGAACATGTCTGGAGAAAAGCCACAGCCTGCATGCAGGTGTTCCTGCATTTATTGTGGTATTTCTGTATTTAAGTGGTTGTGTTTTGGATTATGCTCGCTCATGAGTTCAAGCGAGCGCGTGTACGAGCACACACCTGGTTGCAATCTTAAAACCGCACCGCTAGTGGCCGCTGGAAACTACATAATGCCCCTTTAAACCAGATACAGTCACTATTTTTAATCTTGTCAAAGCTACCAGACTCCATTTACTTGACCTCACAGAACAGACCAGAGAGGCAAAATTGTTATTTTTGTTAAGGGAGTCTGGTGGCTTTGACAAGAGCAAAATAGTGAGTTTCTGGTTTAAAAAAAGGATCTTACTCTTATGTATATACTTAACTTTTATTTTAAATATTTTTTTAGAACATGGATACAACTTATTTCTGCTTGTTTTGCCCCTTGTGTTCTCCTTTTTTTCCCCTTTCCCTTCTCATAGATTCAATTATTACATGTTTCTCTTTCTGCCCCCTCATTTTTAATAGATTTGAATTGAAGATACATGTGTGTGTGATGTCTTCATGCCAGTATCGATACAAACACACGAAACAAAAACACTTTTTTTAATGAACATATGAGTGTTGTTTGATGACAGACTTGGTCAAATTTCACACTATGCTTTGATATAAAAGTTCCAATGTTATTGGAATATTTACACAGAGAGCATCTATCAGCACCACTTTCAAATTATCCCTCCACCAAATGACCTGCATTTCCTCTGCAGAAACTGCGTGAGACCTTTGACCTGCCGTCCTGCTGACATCAGATCATGCAGATGAAGGAGAAGAGGGTTTGGACTGAATGGCAGTTTGGGTCGTCCTGTAACAATAAACCTGAAAAATTAAAAATTAAAAACTGATCACTGCCTGGCTGTTTTTGTAGTGGCAAAGGACACCAAACCTCTGCAGATTTTGGAGAAGATAATGAGACATATGATTTCAAATACCATCTGATTTTATTTTCATATCACAAACAAAAATCAACCATACATGTAATCAGTTTGATGGCTTGAGGTCCCTTGCATCAGAATATAATGTAAATAAAAGATTTCTCCATCACCACCACCAGTTCTTTCTTGTCATCTTCAGATAAAACATGACCGATATCAGCTGACACTGAACAGAAAGGTGTCATACTGAAACAAGCACGGCTTAGTCCTTTAAACACACGTCTCTCTCAGGTGCATGTTTATTGACATTCAGGAAGTTGACTTAGTCACAGAAAGAGATTATTTTTGCATAATTCCATGTATTTGCATATTACTTTCTTGAAATCTGATTTATTTAAATCACATCATTCATTTTCATTCTCTAAGGTAATCTCAGTCCATCAAGATCCAAGGGGTTTAAGTCTGTCCACCACTTTATCAGCAGTCAGGTTGTACTGGCAGGCTCTCAGGCCTTCTATCAGCTCATCTGTTCGGGCCTCGGCTCCTCGACTCTTCCTCCACTCCTTCAGCAGCTCCAACGCTGTTTCCTCCAGCTCTGTGGGATGCCTCTTGGAGATCGACTCCAGCTTAACCTCACTCAAACCCAGTTTGCGGCCCAGTTTACGCCAATTTCTTCCCAGATTCTCTGCAATCACCTCTGTAGCGATGTCCAGTCTTGCTGAAAGCAAAAAACAGTGAAAACAGCGAGATTTTAGAGAAAAAAATGACTTCATCAGTTCTGACTGACTGGCAGGGAAACTCAGCTATCTAACCTCAGTGGGGTCGTTAGCTAGGATCGTTGATACCCGGGTGTAAACGGCTTCTCCTCAGGCCAAGACTCTGTTTACTTACATCTGAAGGACAGAGGACACTCATTTGAGGACCACCAGGTGCACATTTTAGACAGAGAAGATGGATGGTTTGAAAGAGGTGTCAAGGAAGCATCTACACCAGGGTGGAGAAGCCATCATTGAACAGAGGAGGGGGTCTACGCCACCACTTATCCCCCACTTACAATGCTGTCCTTTCATCACTTCCCAGGAAACTCAACAAGCATTTCCCAGGGTGTGGAGGGACAGAGGTGAGATAAAGATAAAGAAATTATGTGAGGTGAGAGGGACAGGTGCATGCGGATGCTGATAAAACAGGAAGTTAGTTCTTACAGTTTGGCTGCTGATTTGAGCGCTCACATCAGCAGATGGAGCTGCAGCAGTGACTCACAACTCACGGAGCTGACTAACCTAACAGCTGCCGCAATTTGTGTCAGAAATGGCACTCCTTCTCAGAGTCAGAACTGAGTCAAATCTGAAAACACAGGCGTGATCCACATATTTATATATTATATATGAGTTTCAGTGTGAATAAAAGTCCAAAATCCGCTTAGAAATAAAAGACACTCCTAAAACTTCAGAACTAGCTAGAAGTTCTCGTCAGTATCCCAGTAATACAGTGTTGTCTGTACGTCAGTGGATACACTGCTTATGTGGCGTACATTCTTATAACCTTATAATGCTGCCATGGTCTAAGCACTATTTGTATTATGGGAACTTTAGTGCCAAAAGTTAAAAGCGTGATCATCTACCAAATAGAAGTAAGACAAAGAATAGGCCTAATAAAGGAGTGATTAAATAATCAATATCAACCCTTTCACATCACACTATAAATATTTTTGACATTACTGAGGCTCCGAATGTCCCATCGATACTGATGATTCATGCTACATTACCAGTTAGCCCACTTTCTGAAGTCAAACACTTTTACTGCTATGCAACATGGTCACATACTAATGCACGTTTTGGGAGGCCTAAATAATATCCTAATGTAGGGGAAGACCTGTGTGAGGGGCCAACAATGGAAGATGCTCGATCACCTCTGGATTCTAACGGGAGCATGAAATAAAGACCAGATTTGAGGGGTCTGGACGTGGAGTAGGGGATGAGGAGATGTAAAATGGGGCCTGTCAATGCACAGCTTTAAAAACAATGGCCTTTTTAGATTAATCATTAATTAATTATCTTATTCTCGTGTCCGTCAAGACTAGCAGCTTCCAAGACTTCCTCCCATCTTTTAAATGCTTTTTAGTTATCGTGCACATGCAGTTATTGTAAGGTTTTTATTTTTCATTTTTCCCCCTCAAAGATTTCAGTTTGTTTTTCTATTGAATTGTTCACATTATAGGTCACATTAAAGGTTGGAAAAGTTCTGACATGATTTATCTTTGTCTCATTATTTTACATCATAAGAACCTGGCATTTTAACAGGGGTGTGTAGACATTCCCTATCCACTCTATGTTATAGACCAAAACTGTCGGGGGACTTCGAATGATGCACTTAAGCGCCTTTTCCACTGCACGGTACCAGCTCACCTCTACCAAAGTCCTTATTGGCAAGTCCTGCCACTCAGCAGCCATCTTGGCAACGCCTGGCACTATTTTTGGTATCCCCTCCGTTGAGGTTCCAAGCGAGCTAAGGCGATACCAAAAGGTGACCTGAAAAAACTGCAAACTACTGATTGGTCAGAGAGAATTGACAACAAATCCATTACGAAATAACTAACTGGCAGCCGGTGTGCAGCTAGTCCTGCAGTGTGCTCAGAAGGTGCTGCTGCTGCTAACGTTAGCTAAGTTTAAGAGCTCAGTTTGTTTATAGTTTAGGATTCCTTTGGTGTTGAGGTTTCTACTGGGAGCCAAATTACCACCGCAGCCATTTCCTCTCCAAAACAAACTGACCCAGTCAATAAAAACACAAGCAGTTTCTCTTCAGCGGACATCAGAGAGCTGACCTCTTGACAGGGTAAGAGCTGTCGGCTGGAAATCTTTTAATGTCAGTTAGCACTAATGTAAAACAGGTAATGCCACGTAACCTTTATTTTGATTTATAAATAGGTCCGTGCTGTTGGGTTTTTACATTTGTGTTTCTCTGTCTTTTTCTGTGCTAGTTATTTTAAGAACTTGATTGATTTATCCAGTTTGTTATTAAATTTGTTAGAAACTTGTGTCTCTTCATTACACTCACACAAGATTACGTCACAGTAGTTTGTGATGCGTTGCTATGGCGACCAGCTAAATTGAGAGGGTACTATTTGCAAGGGAAATCGGAGGACGGAGCACCAAAGCAAGTTGAGCTGGTATCATCCAGTGAAAAAGAGGCTTTAGCTCCTCTCTCCTCCTCTGTTTCGGCATCGGCCCCTGCAAGTTTTGTGTTGCAACTTCAAACTTTCAGGCTAAAACTGTGTTGATGACCAGAGTCGTTTATTGCAATCATTGCCTAAAATATAAACACAACAGATCATACCCTTATACCTCACTACAGAGGTTCTTTCAACAACCTGTTTGTTATGTTTATTTAATAATATACTGTTAGTATAATATTAATATATTAATTATATAATGTTACTTAATTGATTAGAATTTCATATTTTAGTATACTATATATTTTACCCTTAGTATAACATTAATTCCAGTTGCAGCAGTTTCTTTTGTGAGTTGTTTTCATTCAAAAAATGCTCTACATGGTGGTTCAGTAACTCTCTAATTTGTTAATGCTAAGTGATAACTCAATAATCATAGCATTCCTGCATGCCGAACAAGTAAATCATTTGAAAGTTTGCTGTAGCAAGTCAAACTTTCTTAAATGTCCTGCCCCATTTAGGCTGCGATCGGTTGGTCGAAGAAAAGCGACACCGTCGAGCACATCGACTTTATGAAAAGTTCAACATTTCAACAAAACTGACAGAGCTAAATGGTCAACTGGTCAAACACAAACCTTCCTTATCTTCTCCCTGCTGACTTGCGTCTCACCGCTTCAGCTGCTGACGCATCTCTCTCTCTCTGTTTTAGTAAAGCGAGTTACCCAAGCGACCACAGAGCGACCTGCCCATCGTGTCAGGTCACTTTGGATAAAGGCGTGAGCTAAATGAATAAATGTAATGTAAAATGGTCACAGCCTGGAGCCCTGTGCTAGTGTGGTTGTTTCTCCTACTACTATATTTGGAGAGCGGTTTGTGTGTCCCACCATTCCTCAATTCCTCAGCCTGTGTTCACTCACGGCCAGCTCTACACAGGGGAAGAGGCCAACAAATTCAAATTTTTTGTTCAAGGAAATTAATTAAAGGATTATTAGGCCCACTATGTGAGAGCTTTTTTGGATGTGTGTCATGCACTTTTCAGCACATACCTTCCAAATTGGCTTGGAGGTGTACCCTGAGGGTGAAAGCCATGCACAGGGCTGGGGAACAGGGGGCAAAAGTCTCAGGGTTGATGGGAGAGTCACGCTGATAGTTTAAAAGGCGATTTGTTCTAGTCCTTCAAATGTGTGATGCGGATCATGTATAATCCATCTGACTTGGTCCATGAAACAAAGAGTATAGTATAGTAACAGCTGGGCGTTCACATGGGTGCATGCCATGGCAAGTTAGAGAGACTGGTTTCCAGCTTGTGCCTCTAACAGAAAAAGTAATCACAGACTGAGCCAGAGACTAGACTAGACATGATTCTGTTTATTGCAGATCTGTTTTATTAGACTGCATTAGCTATAGCTAGGTGTGCCTAATAAACTGACTGAGTGTATGTCACACTTTGACTTGGCAGCAGAGACAAACATTATTATTTCTAGCAGGAGCTTTCGTAGCAGCAGCAGCAGTGATGTAGCAGTAACCTTTAGTTGTAGCAGTGACTTAAGCAGTTACGCATACGCAGTGACCTGGAGGGCAGAACAACAGACCAGAGGCCTCATTTATAAACCATGCGTACGTACAAAACAGGGCTGGAAACGTGCGTACGCCACTTCCCGAGCACAGTTTGCGATCTATGAAAAACAAACTTGAGAACGTGAGAATGTGCGGTCCTCCACAGAAACTGGGGAAAAGAGAAACAGCGACTCAAATGGCAGAAGGATGAAATGTTTGAAAGGGATACTGTTCTGTAAAATAAATCGAAATATTACCTCTGAGTATTATAGGCCAATAAAACTTAATTTAATAATATTGGTTCATTTGCCAAACAGATGAAAGCCTTTCTAAATAAACAAACACCCTGAACCATGATTTTCCCTGAAGTGCGCAATAAAAAAAAAACATATAAAAAGGTAATTTGCTGCACATACAATTAAAAGACATGATTTAGAATAATAAACACAGATATCCGTTTCTGCAATAGAACACCTCAAATATGTTGTACAATTTAATCTGGAGTCAGGACAAATTACATTTAAATTGATGCTGTTTTTGTTGCCCCAGTTGAGCAAATACGAGTGCATAGTAATAATATATTTATCTTATGTTCATTGACTTATCTAGCCAAAACTATAAAAAAATAATTACACCACTCTTTACAGACACATCTTGTATATTTCAATGAAATTATTATATAATCTAATATGAAAGAAAAATAAATCCTCCTGCAGTCAGTGCTCTCCTACAAAAGCTGTAATTGTTTTTTTTTTAAGATAAAGGTCATCTAGTGTATTTGAAGAACAATTGCCCAAAACATACATTTACATAACAAGTTAAAACAGGATTTTTATGGAACTCAAAATGTTGACTGAACTGGTTGTTTTAGTCTATGGACATTAGACAATTAGTAACATTAACTGTAAAATAAGAAAACAAAGTAGGCTATATCAGTCTGTGATTCCATAACTCATATTTTAACATAGTTTTCAACTAGTCTATATTCTGCATAACAGAATTCAGGTATGGCTTTTGGTTTTAGTGTTGCTGCCCCAGGATGGCAGCTCACACCTCACTCCCGGTACAGACACAGCAAACGCCCTTAAATTTCCCTTCCCACGATTATTTGGGTCACCTCTCAACTCAAGAAAAAGAAAGATATGGACACAAACTGCAAGTGTTGGGCACGTGCGCTCCATGTAGGCTAAAGTATGCATTTCTGCCGTTAAAATCGCCAGAGCAACAACAACTAGCCTATCCAGCATGTTGGCAACACAAAAGTACCGCTCAGACTAACTTCCTGGTTGGCTTGCAGCAGGATGTGTTATTGGCCACCAACAGAACGTGGCGTCACATGAACACTATGAATAGGCCTGACGTTAGTAGCTGCTGAACACCGGGTACGGGTTCGTTCGTTACCTCTCTCCGCCTCGTCCGGTTGGTTGTTGGTGTCTTCATACAGCCTTTCAAAATTGTTTAATTTGTCTGAGAGATCTTGTCGTCCAATTTTTTGGAGAAGCCCGGACAGGAAGCCCGTGTTGTCGGCTGCCAGCTTGCCTCTCTCCGTCAGAACCTGAAACAGCTGGCGTCCAGTGGTGAGAATTTCCAGGTCTCTTTTCCGGATGATGTCTGGAACACACAGAAACTTCATATCTTCCAGCTGCTTACTTGACAGCTCATTAGAAAGGTCCAGTAAAACGCCGTTAAACTGTAGAGAGCTCATGTCTAAGACACAGACGGCACCTCCACTGACACACCGATGTGACAGGCTACTTCAGTTTTACTTTCACTTCCGCGTGACGAACTCGGCGGGGAAAGGTCTGAGCTGAGAGACCGATCCTCCAAAGTAAGTACTTTTGTAAAGTCAAGGGAGGATCTCATGTGACGGCCTGTTCTCTCTCCTTTTCTTTTCAGGTCTTTCTTCCTGTTTGGTCAGACACGCCCACCTGTTTAAGCTGCGGTGAACCAAGATGTCTCTCTCTTCCTCGTGACCTCTCCCCTGGAAGGCGGGTGCCTTTCAGGAGCTCCTTTTCTTTCGGTTGTTTGTTTAGAGTATGATGAGTTCGAGTGTACTTGAGTTAATTATAAGTGAAGGTAACTTTAATAAAACCTTATGGTTCATTTAAACTGTTTTCTGCGTGGACCTTCCCTCTTTGTTACGTTCTTCCACCAGCTGGGCATAACACATCAAATTAGAATATCGTGGAAAAGTTCATTTATTTTCGTAATTTTATTCAAAAAGTGAAACTTTGAAATGTGGCCACTGCAGTGGACTGATGCATGCAATGGCATCAATAGTAATTCAGTGGAACTCAATATAGGTTCAAAAACTATGTTTTTAAAACATAAATATGAACACACTTATTCAAGTGCAAATTATATCATCATTTTAAATAATACAAACTAAGGTAGGATCTACATAGGCAGAATATACCTTAGATGTTGTTAGGCACAAAAACAATTAAAATCTGGCTAAAAGAATTTCTATAACATCCTATTTAATTGAAAAATATTTTTACTGGTCTAGTTTTTTGAGAATAAAAGGATTTTACAGCTATTGCTGAGTTACTTGGGCATCTCCACTTCCATCCCCCATTTTAAATTTACAACGCAGTATGTCAAAATGAGAGAGATGTAAAACAAAATAATCACATGGAATTGTAGACAGCCCTTTGGGGGTCCGCCAAGTGGTGGTTGGGACAAAATGGCTTTCAGATATCTGTTCACTTTAGTAGACATCATTAGAGTATAAGAATAAAGAGTAATACAGACATGTCAACCTTCTGAGGCGTTAAAGTTCTGAAAAATGTTCTTTTATGCACTCAGTACTTTTGCACGAAGTCCTGCATCAGTGCAGCGTGGCATGGAGACAACCAGCCTGTGGCTCTGCTGAGGTGTTATGAAGCCCAGGTTGCTTTGATGGCGGCCTTCAGCTCGTCTGTATTGTTGGTCTGGTGTCTCTCATTTTCCTCTTGACGATACCTCAGATTCTCTGTGGGGTTCAGGTCAGACGAGTTGGCTGGTCAATCAAGGACAGTAACACCATGGTCAGCAAACCAGTTACTTACTGTTACGGCTCTGTGTGCAACAACAAATTCAAATCTCCTGGTAGAGGCTGCATTGACTCTGGACTTACTAAAACACAGTGGACCAGCACCAGCAGATGACATGGCACCCCAGATCATCACTGACTGTGGAAACTTCACTCTGACTTCTGTGTCTCTCCACTCGTCCTCCAGACTCTGGGACCCAGATTTCCAAATAAAATGCAGAATTTACTTTCATATGAAAAGAGGACTGTTGTCCACTGAGCAACGGTCCAGTTCTGTTTCTCCTTAGTCCTGGTAAGACGCTTCATGCCGTCTCTGGTTCAGGAATGGCTTGACACTAGGAATGTGACACTTGTAGCTCATTTCCTGGACTCGTCTGTGTCTGCTGGCTCTTGCACTGACTCCAGCCTCAGTCCACTCCTTGTGAAGCACCCCCAAGGTTCTTGAATGGGCTTTGCTTGACAATCCTCCCAAGGCAGCGGTCATCCCTGTTGCTTGTGCACCTTTTCCTACCACACTTAACCTTCCAGACAACTTATTACCAGAGAGAACATTCAGTGGCATTTTGGGAGGTGGGAAAAAAAGAGAGATGACGACATTATGTTGCGTTCAGGTTTCCACTAGGCTAGGTGTAACACCCACATTAGTTGATATTGTAATTTAGTGGTACAAATGTGCAATTAAATTAAAGTACTAAAACAAAGTTAAATGGAGAAGTTTTCAATAAATGTGTAGACTCCATGCAGTTCATCTTTTTTATTTGCAGATAGTTTAAACAAAAAAGACTCAAAATATCAGAGACAGACAAATAGGTTACACATGCATTTACGTACACGTTTTAAAATGTGCTTTTACATACATTATAATAGACATTAGCATGTCACAACATGTAGGGTTTTATTAATGCTGTAAATACAGCATGGCAACAGACGGCAGGAGGAGGACATCACATGAGGGATATTGAGGAAGGGTCTTCACATGTGACATCAGGTTATATGAAAAAAAAGGAATGTCTAGCTTAAACAGGCTCCACAGCCCTGTGGCAGCATGTAATATATCACTGAATATCAACACTAAACCTACTTACATACACAGTATTAATATTTTTAAGATTAGGTAAAAATAAAAGTCATATTCCAGAAGGAAGTGACATCTTGGTAGGCTGTATCTAGAAGATGTTTTCCCAGGCATCCTTCCAGCGAAATGGGTCTATGTTAAAGGTTTATAGTACATTAAATTAAAATGAAGACAATAAGATAAAGTTTATCACGGTCATTGTGATAGTCTAGTTGATAGATCAGTGGTCCCCTGCTAACTGATAAAACCCTTTCATCTCATACACTTAAAAATGCATTGTCATGAAACTAAGATATGCAACATTTTGACCTAGACGTGATTCTACATCACTGAAAATTAAACATTCAATACATTCTATTGTCTGGGTTGAGGGCATAAATTTGGCATAATTCAATATATTTATAGCAGCGGGCCAGATTTGACACATCAATGAAAGTCTGCAGTACATTTATGTTCTTCAAAGTGATTTGTAGTCACTCACAGATGTTTTTGCAGTTTGATAAATACAAAACACATTATTTAGTCTTGAATAGTTAAAGACTTGCAGCTTTACGAAAGATGCCTAATGATTTATAAGGTTAATGTAAGCCAAGATAATAATATTGAAACAGTGCTGCCTCTCATGGTTTCACACTGTATCCCAGTAAGAGAGTCAGGAAAGCTGTCACCTCACTCACCAACTGTCACTGTGGTCACTTGAACAAGCTGCTGTCCAGTCATACGAAAATATTCCTACTTGAGCAGAAACAAAGAGTCCCTTTAACTTTGAATTTGACATGAATGTGGCAAGATTCCTCAATCCCATGATGGCACACACTGTCTACACACACTTGTACTGGTAAATGTGGCTTTAAACATGAGCACATTAAGCTCCATTTTCAGTACACAACTGTCAGCTCGCCTGTGCCCTAAATGGTTAAACATACATTTGAAATGGACATTTGATTTCCAGTTGCTAACTCTATACTAACTAGCTAGCGGGCATTAGCAAACATCAGTATGAGCTGCTGCATGGGAAAATTGTTTTACTCAGCAAAATCTCAAATAAAGCTGAGCGTATTCACAATATACAAGGTGTTAATGGTTTTTATGGTTTTAAATCAGAGGAATAAAAAACAATTACTGCTGGGCTCTTTAAAGCTGCATAAACCAACATTTCCATCGATGGTTAAAAAGTGACTGAATTCTGTCAAACATTAGAGGAAACGCAGGTGATATCCTCAAACCGCACCCTGCCCCAGTTCATTGATGACCCAAAAGACAAAAAATGAACAGGGGAGGCAAAAGATGAAATGCTGGAGTCTCCAAATGAAAATGGAGAGCTTGCTACAGCCTTTGTGGCCACTAGGGGGCAGCAGATTATCACCTTTTAAGTTGAACTTTTTACCAAATAGTTTCACATGTACACATCTAGTAGACAGAGCAGCATTCATTTGGAGTAGTGTTGTTTATAGCAGCTAGTCATTTAGAATACTAACCATGGATCGCATTACTATGTGTAATTTTAAAGCTCTTGCTTATTTATGAGTTCCCCTCAGCCCTACAGAGAGTTTTAGCATCCTGGAGCTCTTTATTTTTATATTTTGGTTTCATGGCAAACTTCATATCAACCTTGTCTCCAGCAGCAGGCAGATGTTTTCTCAGACAGATCTGACTATCCACAACCAGCTCAGCAACAAACAGCAGACTGATAGCAATTAGCTTATTACAAGTTAATCAAAGAACCAGAGAAAAATATAGCTGCTTGAGCTAAAAGCACGGTAAATACTGGACTGATGAATGCTAATGACGCTCTGTGTTGGATTTGTAAGTAATTGTTACGCTCGCCATAGCTATGTTATTTGGTGACAATATGTCTATGTTGTGTTTTCATATTGTTCTGCTGCCCTCAAGTGGCCAAACAATCGAGAACCAAGAAATCAGTTAATGTCTGAAAGTGTCTCGGAGATGTACATTGATGGCAGGAAGGAGGATCTCATTTTGTGTTCTCATCAGCAACATTCCATGAGGATGACTTGGATGGAGTGACAAAGGCTGTCTTCAATACAAAAGCTGCATTCACGTATCGAGAGAGGTATGAACTTAGGCTGTGTGTGTGTGTGTGTGTATGTGTGTGTGTGTGGGGGGGGTTGCACTGCTTTCTCAAACATCCTGAATGACGATCTCGTCAACAAGGAAATTCACTGCGAGTCAAATGAAGCTAATGGCTTGTTCCTTTCAAAGACATCCAATAAATAATGTTTTGTTATCATATATCTAACTACTTGCAGGATTTTTGGTTAAAGTTTAAGTTTAAACAGTCAGATCATGCCTGCAAATATTCCCAAACAATATAAATGGAGCAAAAGCTTAGCTGAATATTACAACTGATGATGTGTTAATGGATAACCAGCAAGCTTTAACCAGCTGATTAACTTCTGTATAGTTTGTATACAGGTTTTGTTTACTTGATGATGTTCTCCCAGAGCCTAGCTGCTAGTAGTTTAACAGCAGTTGGTGTGTGAGACGGGTCTTGAGCGGGGCTGTAGAGGGCTCTGATTGGCTGACGAGGGGGGGGTGCAATTGTCCTGGGTGCAGTTGTCCCGTGCTGCAAGCCTTTTGCCCTGCTCCTCCTTCATAAAGAGCTCCACCATGAGGATCTTCTCCTTGTGCATCTGGAGGCTGATGTCCTTAGGGATGTCAGGGATCAGCCAGTCCACAAAGTCACTCATAAGCATCACCAAGTTCTGCGTGGAACAGAGGAAACAGAGAGCAGATAGGAACATCTCAGAACTGAACATCTCACTGAGGCAGAAAACCACAGATTTTAAGTAACATTAAAACAAAACAACATCCATTTTTGTTTAGCAGCCACTGTGTGTTTCAAAACTGTGTTGACATTTGGTTTTACTTTGAGATTAAATGACGACAATGTGACATTCTGAAAGGTAGTGTAACAGTAGCAGCAGACTTAGTAATGTCATTTACACAGCAAACTTAGTGAATTATAATTATGACTACAAATGCCATACTTTCATAATCATAAGATTCTAATTCACAAGTATGACCCACACAGTAAAACATTTGAAAGCCAAATGTATACATTTCTAAATGATATCATACCTAGTTTGGCGTTTCTCGTATCAGCCAACATATATTTAACATCCATTCCAATATATATGCAATCAGCTAATATTGATTTATCTAATCTATCTAATTGGAACATAATATCATAATAAATGTTTTGTTCTTACAATATTTCTGAGCTACATTTTGCAAATGTTTAGCATTTAGCAAATGTTTGTTTGCATTGCCTACATAAAATATGAATGATACAACTGAGTGCCATGTCTGTTTAAAAGCAAGAGGCATACAGTATGTGTGCTCTAATATTAATATCTGTGTGTTGCTCCAAACCTGAAAGACAATAACAAAGGCAAGGCGGGCGGCCAGAACAGCCCAGAACTCCTTAGAGAGTTCATATGGTGTGCTGGACCAGGGAGGCTCTCGGTAGTCCTTATATCTGGAGACAGAAAAACAGAGTCTTGACCTATGCTTTTATTTAGAACATTCATTTGATGCTTTACTATTTGACAGGTGTCCATTTTTCAGTATGTATGTTGTTATAGTCTCCCGTACCATAGTACAATGCAATATTATGAGAGATGATGCTGAATTGTTTGTGAGGTTTTTGCATGAGAATGGTAAATTTGATATCACTTACTGTCCCAACACATCAGCAGACTCATTTCCAAAATCAAGTGCCCCCAGCTATAAAGTGAAACCTTACCTGCATATTACGACCTTGTAGCCCAGGTGCAGTGGCTCGAGAGGGTCTGTTCCTGGCTGGAAGTCGCTGACATTGAAGTAAGACAGAGTGTGATTGACGAAGCCGTGCATGGTGCCATCAGGGCTGTACATGTACTGGTAGACCAGCCGTGGGATGAAGTTAGAGGTGAAGGAGATGACAAAGGCCTGGGGAACAGAAAACTTCTTATCTGCTTACGGTCATCAGGAAATCTAATGACAAGGCTAAACTATGACTCCTTCCTGATTTCTGGATTTAGAGAAGACCATAAATCCATAAGGTGACACTGACTAAACATTTTCATTCACTTTTATTTTCCGGCTTTTTCATTTCCAAGCCACAGCATGCTTCGGAAGTAAAACTTGCCAGTCACTATAAAAAGATATAAAGATGCAAGACTTACATTAACAATGACTGCTACCTTGCTGAGGCCTCTCAAGAGGTTGTACCAGATACCTGCAGAAACACAGAGTCATTAAAGTGGAAACAGCTGCTTCAGTACTCGATAGGGTCAGTAAGTACCAGCCACTACTAGATGGCAAAAGCACTCGCTGCAGTCACTGTGTGTTAGGAATGTTAGGTGCATGTTTTACTGCCTTAACAATTAACTGATGTATTACTGCTGAGCAGGACCACATGTGCTGCAACTGTTCACTATATCGTCCAGACAGACCAGTGTGTCCGTTCATGTCTGTATATTAAGAAAACCAACTTACACGGATTTGAAACTTCATTGAAAGAGCCAGTCCTTCACAGTCTTAGCCCCAGTTCCATTTCAATATGTTGACATCAGTTTTTAAGGATGCATTTGATAACCTGGCACCCTCCTTTAAGCCTAGTGCCAGAAATGATCTTTGATCATCATCTAACCTTGATTATACTGTTAATATATTTTGATATACTTGATATTGCTTCAAAAATCAGATCATTTTCATCATTTGACTTGGAGAAAGTGATTCATGCGTTCATGCTTCATCTTCTATAGAAATGATTAACTGACGGAGAGTAACTTTTTCTTAACCAGCCCAAATGGCAAAGCATGCTCACGCCTTCAAGTTGTACACAGTGCTGCAGCCTCATTTTAGCCTCTTTGCGTAGGCTTTCAGGGGATTTTAGAACTGATTTTTCAGGGTTTATTACTTTTAAAGCATTCCATGCTCTGACTCCAACTTCCATCTGTGAGCTGTTGTGCCCGTATGTGCCTGCACTTTATTCAGACCTTACAACAAAACTCTGTTGAAGTCCCCTCATCAACTAAAGGAGACCCAAACTCTGGAACAACCTTTAAGTTATTTATCTCCCTTGCAATTCTGCATTAATCGGTCTTTATATACCCTGTCACTTTTAACTTCTTCTTTGTATTGTCCCAATCATTTTTCCTTTTTAAACATTTATGTTTATTGTGAAGCACTTTGTAACTGTTACATCTTGTTAGCCGGGGGAAACAGGGATCTTGGAACCAGATGCAGACACATGCACAGCGGAGGTACGGTGAGTGAGGTTTTATTTGACAAGCAGGTGAAAACTTACAAGTGCTGACGAGGTCTGCAGTCCAACAACAAACGTACAATAGTCCATATAGAAAACAGGAGAGTAGTCCGTAAATCCCAAGAAACAAAATATATATTCAAAAACACGAGGCGAAGGCGAGATGCTGAATACGAGACACACCACAATCATGAACAAATAAGAAACATGTAATGAGTGTAAAGAATGGTCCAGCTGAACATAATGACATACAGGTGATACCGCTAATGGCTCGAGCAGACTACATGACTTTCAACACTGGCTGTGGCCGACTCCACGTCCTCCAGATATTCAGCATACTAGATATCTGGCCGTTGTTGCCGATGCATCAGTGATGTGTTTTAAATGCGTCGTTGAGTAGTTCACACATAACAATTGACTCACAAATCAGGCTTAAAATCATGTAGTGTGAACTAGGCTTAAGAAAATCTGTGAGACAGAAACAGGAAGTAAAACAAGACAAGAACACTACGGGGCAGACAAACCTGCAGACAGGATACACTGAAAACAGAACATAACCAACCCAGTAACATTGTTCTGAACAGTGCTATACAAATAAAGGTTATTATTATTATTTTTATTGTGATTTAAAATATACTGTGTGTCTGGTGCGAATCAAGAAGAATCACTGCGATCAAAATCGTTGTGTTCGCACTTTCAGTGAAAGCCTAGATTAACATTTTTTAAAAGTCTGTTTTACAACAATATTCCCATGCCCGTATGCTGAACCTGTTTTTGGTTACTGTTACCATCTCTCCTGTCCATACTGGTCGTACAGAGATCACTTCCTAATACAATTCCAGTGTACGTAAGTGATGGGGACAAAATCTGCAGTCCTCTTTCTTTGAAAAAATGCTTTCAAAACTTTACGTCACAGCTAATATGAAGCTTCAACAATTTGACCTTGTTAAATCAGCTGGTTATCTTAACAGTTAGAGATAGTCACACAAACAGAGACTTTTGTAACTTTGGAAGATACCCACTTGATTTGGTTCAGACTGCTGAAGCCACATTATCTTTATCTGAACTTTAAAATGCATTCTTACACAGGACTGTAGATTTTGTCCCCCATCTGTTACATTTATGTCTTGTTAGCAAGGGCCATTACCTACAGGATGAACCTTTCCTTAATGGATCAGTCAATATGGACAACTTTATGTGAGTGAAAAATTAAGAATGTGGTTTGTTTTGTCTGAGGTACTGTAATTTCTAATTAGCCCACACATGAAGTTAATCAAAACTAATTGCAAATCTCTCTTCTCCTGAGTTTCTCACCCTAATGAAGACGATTTAGCTGAAAACATCTAGGGGAATAAACACAGCATATTGGGGAAGTGTGATCTTTATCTCCATGCATTTCAGTTAGGGTTGTGGACACCTACCAATGTCTTTGGCTTTGGCTGCAATTGGTCTACGCAGCTCCATAACAAACTTTTTGGCATCCAGGCGAATCTCAATGATGTTATTCAGAAGAGCGAAGAGCGGAGCCAGAGGGAAGGAGGCCACGAAAAGAGTCACCATCCCAAACTGGATGACTAAAGGCACAGACGAGAGGAGAAATGAGCAGAAGTTACTGGAGGAACACATTGTTAAAAAACTAACTGTAGTGACAGTTCAGTAGTGGAATGCTAGACTGTGATCCACCAAAAAAAAAGTGTGTAAATTTGAAAATTATATAGGATAAAAGAAAATTTCAGTCAACATAAATATAGAAAAACCCAGATGGACTCCTCAGTCTATTTTTTTGGGCTATCAGCTACCTGATGTCACGACCCACCTTTTTAGAAGAGCTTTCGGCCATTTTATTTTTTTATTTTCATGCTCTATGTGTTATACGTTTTATTTTTAGCACTTACCTGATTTGGAATGCTGTTTTAAGTGTGTTACAAATAAAATGTATTATTAATATTATTATTGTTATTAACACAGCACATGCCACATACTGCAATAAGGAACAATTGATTTTAAAAAACAAGACAGGTGCTTGTATTTTGCAGTAAATCTGCCAGTGTAATCAAATCTGCTCTAAATGAGCTCCTCTTTCACCATTACTAAAAGGGAAAAGCCATCAAACACACACAGAGTTGTTCCATCCTCTTCCACAATGTGGTGCCAAAAAGCAGCTAGAATGCTCCATTCCCTCATCTCACACACTAAAAATGTAAAATAATCCAACCTTCATGTCTGTTGGGTACACATTTCTTAAGCTTTATAGATTTTCTGTTGGAAAAGATGGATGGAGTAGCTACTGTAGAGCTGCACCAGAGGTGGACATCTCGGTTAAATCAAAGCTGCAATCAAATAAAAAATCCTGCAACCGACATTTATCACCTTTAAAGGTTGTTACGGCTAACATCTCAGCAAACCGTGCCCAATTTACACATCCAGCAAACACAGAGCAACATTAACATTCATTTAGAGTGATGTGCGGATGATGAGACATTTATAGGTTTATCATAATGATAACAAGCATAGTTTTATGTGCTTATCAGATTATTATTATAGAGAGGGTTATTTTGGTTATCTCGGCACATTAATGCCTTCTGGCATCCTTGGAGAATTCTAATTATTAATTCGTTTGAAGGAAATTTGTTTTCTTTTGGTGTTGTGATCATTGATCAGTCTGAACCCTCCAGCTGGCAACATTGTTGGGCTTTATTATGTTACATATTTTCTGACAGAAATTAATGACTTTCACATCTGCTCACATCAGTGGAGCCGTACACAGCAACAGGCAGAACATGAGCTGAGGAAAGCATCATCAGCCTTTGACCAGGTGGCTTCAACATAGAAGTGAAAATTCCTTCAGACCTTCACATGACTTTTCACTACACATTTTTGTTGACTTGGACTTTCTTATTATGTAGTTGGTGTGAATGCTGGAAGTGTAAAGAGGGGAAAGTTATACGACCAGGCGAGGGCGAAGGTGTTTCAACGCTGGAGAAACCTCAGGGTGAGGGAGGGATGAAGGGAAGGGTCTAATTTGTTTGGCAGTTGAGTCCAAATTTCAACAATCCCCCTGCAGAATCACTTACTTTCCCTTTAAATGATCAATATACTATTTACAGGCTCTGTGGTGTAACCCACACCGCTCATTATTTGCTTTACTTTTAGCTATGTTGCACAAATAATTTGTTACACCTGACTGAAATGCTATCTACAGTTACTACAACCAATACTGAGCCATTTGAGAAGCAACATGTTTTGTAGTGTAGTTGTGTTTAGTGAAGAAGGTGTAGGCCGGGTTTTGTCATTGTTGGACTAGTCATTAATTTTTGTGGCTGTCCTACCTTACACACACACAGAGTACACCGAGACTGACATCAAACATGGAGCAGCAGTTTTACAGAGTCTCACTACAGTGTTGAGCTTGAAGTAGCTTTAATCTTCTCTCAGTAGTATTGGGAGGTTTGGTAACATGATGAGCCTCTGCAAGTCTTTATTATAGATTTCCTTCCCTCAGCTGGGATGTCTGTATCAACTGCTTAATAATCTAGATCCTAAAAGAGCAATTACACAGCTGCATGAGCCATGAGTTCTGGCCACATTAAAAGCAGGACACTTGAATCTACTTATCTTCATTAAACACACATGCACCCCCCCCCCCCCCCTCACTGACTGACATTCTGTGTGCTGTGAAATTGGATGTCTATAAAATTTTATTAAAAAAGGTCAACACAGTGTACCTCAACTAGGAGTTTAGCTGGTTTCTCACCTTTAACAGAGGAATATGCTAGTTCACTAGTGCTAAAAGGTGCTGACATTTGCAATGTTAAGCAAAGGTCCAACATGAAGCAGAGTAGAGAGAGAGATCATTACGTTTATTACGTGATTCAACATTTCCCTCTCTCACACACACGCCAACGCACAAACACACACACACAGCAGTCCACTACTTGCCCCAGATATCTGTGATATTACAACAGGGTGTAGGCCTACTCACACAAGGCAGTCCGTTAAGTTTGCCTGAAAAAAGCCATCAAAGATAATTGCTCAAGGAGAGACTGCAATCCCGCCCTTTATGTTAATATAATTATTTACACTGCTTGTCGACGGCACACAGTAGCATATTATCATTTGTAGTGCTGTACTAATTGGAGGATGCATCAAAAAGCCAATAATACTAGACATATAATCTGCAGTCAATACAGAGTGATACAGTAGGTTCATTTTCGCGGGTTGCAGCCTCAACCTGTACGGTCAAAACTGTGCGCACGATCGTGGCTGATGGTGGAGAAGTGCAGCCATCCTGTCAGTCATGCAGTGTGTGCAGCATAGTTCATTATGAAAGTGTGTTCATTTAAGTCTGTTTATCTTGTTTAATGTAAATAAAAGTACGTACTAATTATAATGAAAAATACATTATTTGTGATTCAAAATAATGTTGATAAATGAATTAGTGACCCCCACAGATGCAGGATTTTACAGGCTCCCACATAACTCGAACCCTGAGGAAACATCAACAAGGGTTAAACAACTAACTGCTCCTCAGGACAGACATAGCAGCGGCGTGCATGTCGCTTACAATTGTGCATTTGTTTACAGCGGCCTTGTGTTTAAACTCACTCATCTCCATGTACTCGGGGCTGAGGCCAGTGAAAGGACCCAGGAAGTGGTCTTTCTCGTGACGCTGCAGGGTTTTGTTCAGCTCCTCCTCTTGCTTTGAGTCCAACTCTGACTTCCTCCTCCGAAGCAGTTTCTTCAGCTTCCTGCACATAGCAAATGCCCATGATGAAAATAACACATTCAGTCTTGTTAATAATACCTGAGCTACACAGTTTTTTCTTCCATGAACGCTCAACATACAGTATATAAACAGATAGTTCGGTAAAGATCCCTCTATTTGGCAAATGTGATTTTAGTAATTATTACATTATGGTGGTAATGTTTGGAAGAGTGGGTCCCAGTTTGTTTGAAACTCACGCCCTACAAGCACGCTGACGAGGATGCTAGTCTATGCGCACAAGCATGTGGGTGACGTGATACACATTCCTGCAGACTGCAGTGTGTAAAATATTGGAATAGACAACATTAGAGTGTAAATTGTATTATATTTAATTTGTATTATTTTTAATTTGTACTACGTATTTTACAAAAGTCCTGCAATAAATCCTCCCTTCATGAGGGTAATAATGTTCAGTTTGTGTTGAAACTATTTTAGAGACATGCTGACTGTTTATTCCTTCATCATTCATTCAGTCATTTTGGAGGCTGCAGTTTGTGGTGCAGTTGAACTGTACTGCATTATACAGAGGGGTGTCTGTTATTTAGCCAGTCCTCTTTGATATCAATGTGGTGGACAAAATATTAGAAACACCAGTCAGTATAACACAATACAGTACAATTCATTCGAACAATAGTTTTGTTTTGACTAAAGTCATTTTTCAAAGTGGCATTATTCACGCCTCTGTGCTAATATTTTGAAATTCTTGAAATGCTTCGATCAATCCTCATGTTAGCAAACATGCCATCTGGATCCATTAATCTATCATTGTTGGGCTTATATTAGGTCTATGAATTATAATTGTGACACAGTTTAGAGTTGTGCTGTTGGCTGAATGTATGTGTGGGAACCAAACAAACAGAACAATTAACTTACAAACTTCCATTACAGTGTACGCAAAGTATGAGGCAAGACAAAGGAAATGGCAGACTGACATAGTTCAGCAAGGTGTTGTCTGGTTTGCAGATAAGTGTGTCTGAAAACCAGACTGGCATTTAAAAAATTCCCTCTCAGATGCAAGTTCATCTGAGTGGGTGTGCATAATTTCTTCTGTGTCTTGCTGAACTCCTGTATTGTGATCCATGCTGAACCGTTGTTTAGATGTGTATGTGGCTGTTCTGTGTGATAAGCGTCATGAGACAGTGTATGCTCTGCACTCACGGTATGCCAATCTCAAACAGGTTGTTCTGGATGAGCTGCTTGCCCAGCATGGTAATGCACAACTGAATGCAGAGCTCCATGAGGCAGCCTGCATGGGCACACTAGACAGAAAAGGAACAAGTCTCAGAAAGTGACAGGAAGTCAAGTAGAGGCAGAAGAGCACAGAGAGAGGGAGGGTAGATGTTAAAGAGCTGACAGTGACAAGCGGAAAGGCCTGGAGACTCATTCAAGCCATGTATCTCTCCAAGAAGCATTATGTGATCTTTCCTCCTTGCACCAAGCAACCAGCGGCGCTGAAACATGAAGCCAACATGGAGTGCCAAAAACTGCAGTGCAAACTCCACTTGAGACTGGCTGCAAATGTGAGTCGATCCCAATACAGCCCCATGTTAAAATGCCCAACTTTACCTTTACTCTAATTTCTACCTTCATGACAGCTGTGTGAGTTACCCATTTAAATTTAAGGGTTAGTCTTAAGTTATGCATAATTAAGGACGTGCTTTGAGTGACAGGTGGTTGCTACCATGGTGTCCGCTAGCTCCAACCACTCCACCTCTTTTCTAATTTGCCAGAGTCAGGGACAGCCAAGATGGTGACAGCCGGTGACAATGAGCTTCACAACGGCTCTTCTATAGAAGACAATACTCAATAAAGCACCAACATTTATATTATATTATATTTAGATTTATGTCTTAACTAGGAACCACTGGGCTAGAGTGCCACAGACAAGATAGGAGAGTAGGAAACTAATGAGACGTGGACTAACATGGTTGGTTTAAGCCTTTTCACAGGAACTGTGGACAAGAAAATATGGAATTACAGCAGCCTTCTCCTTTGCACTGTGTTTAGTGTGAGTTACCTCTTCCATTCTGTACGATCCAACAACATACAAGTAGTTTCCAGGCCGCCCAACAAGCCTGTCAACCAAACACAACCATTACATGTTGAACGTGAGATGAGGAAAGCAGGTAATATCCAGTGTGATCATGTTCACAATACAGTGCACAACCCAAACATACACATGGTTTGGAGTGTTTTGGATAAAAGTGTGAGAGCAGCTACAGATGGGAGAATTTCAATTACTATTGACCCACAGAATTAAAGTGCAGAGAACAAATTTAGCAACATGTATGTGTGTGTGACAATAAAAGTATCTTCTAAAATGATGAACAGCTTTGAGAAGTCATTGTTTTACCTGCCCCGGAAAAAGGCCAAATAGACAATGGGTGTGAAGGCATTGACAAACTTCAAGATAAACGTTTTGAAGATGAGGCGCTCTTCATAGCTCTTGTCTGTCTTTGGAACCTCTGAAAGAGAGACAACATGTGACTTCATTATCTCACACGCACATTCATCCAGTAGCATTACAGTTATAAAAGACTGTTCTACATGTCTGGTTGTAATTCACTTTATGAGCCATTAATGTGCTTTAATTTTTAATTCAGCATATTTATAAAGGCAAGCCAGTTTGTGCTGTAGTATGTAGCATTTTGCTGTAGGTGTTAAATTAAGCTTGCAAGTTGCAATAATAACAAACATTTCTCCTTGTGAGACACATATATTTACTTTATGTGATAAAACCATTATAATGTTAATTGGCGATGTGCTAAAATGCAATGTAATAGCAGTGAGCAAACTGACTTGTATTGTCAACATTGTATATTGTCAATATTGTATATATTCGGTTAGTTTTGGTTTGGTTTCACACTGCAATTCTGCGACCGCACTGAAGGACTTTACATGACAGACCTGCATCCTGTCGTCATCATCTACGTTGGCTGCGTCTCCCTGTACTTGACATTGATTGGTTTATTAAACAGTTCAGCTGCGAGCTTTGACAATAATGAATTAACAAAAAACATATTTGACACTACTATATTGTTATTATTATGGCATTACTACCTGCAGCACCAACTATACTGAAGGCTAGTTCAAATTCGCAATTAAACGTCCTCGTTGTGCGAACATTAGAACGTCGCCAGGACAGGAGGAGAAGACCGCAAACAATCTGCACCTCCAAAGCGATGGGTGGCAGTGTGCTTCTATAGTGGCCGTCTGTATCAAAAGATGAGCTGTCACGGGAGATTTATATTTGTGTCCTTATTTCAATGCATTTCTCCGTGCATTTATTTGTTTCCAGTGTAAAAGGCAACCGCCAAACTTCCTGTAACTAGTCTGAAAGTCCGAACCATCAACAAAATGCTTTCACACAAGAAACGAACCGAACCATGGTTCAGTCTGATCCGGACCGAGACTGCCTCTTTTGGTCGGACCAAATTTCATCTGTTTGGTCCGGACCGTGGTCTGGAGGAGGTTTCACGCCTGCAATTTTGGTTTGGACCAAACTGAAAAGTCCAAAAGTCCGGACCAAACAAGGTAGGTGTGAAAGCCCCCTTAGATAACATTATCTATCATAAGTTTAACACCTCAGTGTACTGAACTGAGCAAGGGTGTTTAATTGATTATGAATTCAACTTTTTATTAGTAAAAGGAACAATGTGTAATCTTTCCCTTCAAAAGTTACATATATTATTCTTTATCCAGACTGGTATATGGACCTAGCAAGGATTTCATATACTAACTGATAGCTTTTCCTTTCTTAAGGATGCCTTCCAGACAGGCCTTAAAGACATGTAAAAATATTCTGCCTGGAATAATAATTTGTGTCTGATTGTTTCCACAAAAAACTACCCTGTTACTTCTGCTCCTTTCCCTCACTGAGAAATCAAGAATCTATGAATGTGCAAATAGTTTTTTTCCCCACAAGTTAAACTGCTGGAACCAGGATATATCTTACTGAAAATTCCTTTCTCACTGTCTGTGACCTGGAGGCTTCTAGTTTCATCCTGGAGTGTAATTGGCTTACGTAGCTGTGTCAAACTCAGATATAAGGTGAGCTCAGAGAAACTTGTTCCTTCAGATGAATGTGAAAACTCTGCACAATGAACACATTCTGCACAGTGAAGCTCAAACATCACAGTAAAACTAACATTTGGTTTTGGTATCAATCATGCCTGTAAGGGGTTAACAGTGAAATGCGCCTCACCCAGTGTGGTGAGCCAGCGGGCGATGGCGGCATAGAATTCATCTAAGATGATAATGACGATGAGGTTGATGATGGCGGCGGTAGTTTTGACAGTGGCTCTGATGTTGGACCGTGCTGCAGGGTAGGTGCTCATGTGCAGTGCAGCTTTAATGCTAATCCGGTACAGGATGACCCCGAAGACTATGGCAAACGTCACAAGGATCTAAAAGCAAGCAGAAGAAGGAGAACACCCAATCTGACAATCTGTTGATAATCTGACAGAACAATCAACCTGAGTAAGATATGCAAAGAGTCACTGTAGGTGACACACACTGAAAAGCCTATTGAATAAACTTCCTATTTTGTTAGGTCCAAAACATTTACCCCACAAATGTTATTGCATTTATATGAATCTGAACAATTCGCAGATATAAGCACAAAAGGTCCAGTAGGATGTTAATGTTGAGTAGACACCTGTTGAAACATGCCACATGTTTACAGGTGTTGACAATGAGGACGGCCGTTCTGAAAAGCTTCTTTACCCACCTGAGCCCGTATTACTAAATGAATGCAATGCAACAGCTGTGTGACTTTCTACATATCAATCGTTTAGGATTTAGAGTTCATCAAAGCACAGAGACAGCACTTTGACTCTGTTTAGGGGCACCTGCGCTTGTGTCTTTATTTATCTATACTGTATCTAACTGTGTTGTTTTTCTATCTTTTTGCTGCATGTTGTTGATTGTTGTCATTGTTTTAATTTATCTAGTTTTATTTTTTATGTCTTCTTCTGCAGGTACCATCTTATCTTAAAGAGCTCATAGTACCTTACTACCCCACCAGAGCACCGAGCTCCCAGAATGCAGGGTTACTTGTGGTTCCTAGAGTCTCCAAAAGTAGACTAGGAGCCAGAGCGTTCAGCTATCAAGCTCCTCTCCTGTGGAACCAGGTTCCAGTTTGGGTTCAGGAGGCAGACACCATCTCCACATTTAAGAGTAGGCTTAAGACTTGCCTCTTTGATAAAGCTTATATTTATAGCAGTATTTAAATGAGGATTTTGCGTGTTTTAAATGGTTTCAGCCATGGAGAATCGGGAGGGAAAGCAGCCACTGCGTAAAAACCTTGGTTTGCTTTGTTCAGTGCGTCCCAATCATGTGGAAATCGTATGTAGGCCTACCTGCCCATCCTGCCTGAGATTGCACTAAGTACTTGGGACAGCACGCCTGAAAAACTGCTTTGGGAAACCCCAGCAGAAACAGCTACAGTGAGCTGGAATGACTCAGATGCGAGGAAATGCCAGCGGATCGTGCGCTTTTGAAAGACGTCATTCTGCGTGCATCTCCCAGTTAGTAGATCAGCTTACGTGCTAATTTGCTGGTGATATCAAGTTTGCACACGTTTTTACTCACGCAAACCTAAATCAGGCCCTTTATTTGGGGTGTTAGTAAATCTGGCCCTATATGTAATGGCAGCTGGCTGCAGTATGTACACTGCTGGTGAGCATGTACTTTTAAGTTATGAAGTGGTTACAGAAAAATGTTTCTTTTCTCTCACCAGCTTTAACCAGACAACAGACAAAGTTTGCACTTTTAGCCGATACAAAATTACAAAAATTAACAAATGTTAGCTGTAACATTTAATTATAGCTGATAAAAATCAAAAGATTTTAACACACGAAACCAAAGTGAGAAGCAATATTCAGAATGACAGATGCTCTACAGCAGTGGTTCTCAACCTTTTTTGGGCCAGCGCACCCCTATCCATTATCCAGGTCCCTTGCCACCGTTGATTTTTTTTATTGTTACTATTGTTATTAAAAACATGGAAAAGGTAACGAAAAAGCCATGTGAAAAGTAATTATATTTAACTAATAAGTGTGTGAAGCCAGATACTGTTTTCTTGGATGGGGTACTTAATATGTATGGGGGTCCTCTCCTAGAAGATTTTGAGCATTAAACACTTAATTTCCTGCATTCTGGTGAAAGTTTCTGCTCCAATTTCTGCCTTTTCTGCACCAATTTATGGTGGAAATGTCTTATTATATAAAGGAAAACACAAAAGTCAGGTGGCAGGTGACAATTCAAAATATATAAATATAATATAGTGAGGCTCTCTGCGTTCTTTTTTGCTTTTGAATATTTTTCTCCTGTAGATCAACTTATTTAATATCCCTGCTAAGTCAACACACATGATTAAGTCTTATCTCCTCTTTTGTGTCTTTTGTGGGGAAGTAACCTATGTGTTTGTGGCCCCTTTCATCTCTGTGATAAATTAATCCTTTTTTATTAAGTTATTGACTGGACTTTATTAGCTCATCTGTTAATAACTTATCATATCATAACTTAGTGTTTCCCACAGAATGACAGTGTAACTGTGGGCATATGGGGTGTGCGTGCAGTCGATATTAACTACCAGCTATATACAGTGTTCTAGCCTCGAAAACCCAGCTGTCTTCTAACATTAATTTAGCTCTCCTTATTAGCTAGGCTCCTTAGATTTTTGCAAATACTTTTTAAAGCTTTGTCTCCAACATTGACAGAGTTGTGTTGGACATATTTGTGCAGCTGTGTTCATGAGAGAGTGAGTGAGAGGATGTACTGTGCGAATACGCGCTGCCTGCAGCTCTGCAATCAAGTACGATTTTAAATAGGCCTAGTTAAATTTTTTTTATCTTAAATCAATATGTGCCTGTCAGCGTTGATATTGTGGCGGACCGCCACCAATAAATGAACGCATGGGAAACACTAACTTATCTGCTCATGTTCAAAACTTTCTGCACATTCAGAATCTCTCCCACATATCTGAGTTCTCTGACATGTAATGAAAAAAACGTAATATTAGGAGACTAATGTCATTAGCCTATTTAAAGAGAATTCATAACATTTTACTACATGCCCTATACTGCATTATGTTACTGATTCGCTGGAAGTTTCCCCTCGACCGTCTGACAGACACAGAACTGTTATTTTAACTTCAGCACCTCTGATAAAGCGCCGCTTACAATCCCCAACAGAGCAAGTCAGGGCTTCAGTTTTTAACGTTACATTTTATAGCCTACTGAAACTACAGTATATGTCCACTTTGGCAGAAACTGTCTGCGACTCACAGCGCGAGGTGGGTCCACGTCACTCGCTGGTGTCGCAGCGAAGTTGCTTTCAGGGTGAGTCTGACAGCAGAATATACCTCTTGTAAATGTGTAACCACTGCGATAACAAGACGTTCACGGTGTATTCCTCAGAGAAATAAGCACTTTTCCACCAAGAAAGAGAACATAAATTTTCCAGAGTTTACACAGTAAACGCCATGTGGGTAAAATTTTACAGATGATACTCTGACTTCCCGTTCCCGTGAAGGCAGCACGGAGCTGCACCACAAGTAGCTGACGGAGAAAAAAATACACCGTCTAGTCCAGTTGTAGTGGACTAAACTGGCAGGTTTTAATGTGGCAGGCCACAGTTTTTTTGCAAGTAGCTTAAAATTTAAACTCGTATTGTTGTGAATCTTCGATGTAAACTTGCCTTAGACTTTCCAACCAACAAACGCCCCCCAAAAGCAGCTCAGCGCCCCCCTTTCCAAAATATTGCTTCCAGCGCCCCCCATCATCCTTGGAACGCCCCCGTTGAGAAACACCACTCTACAGTGAAATCTTGCTTGGAAATATTTAAACCTGCAACAAGCTGTTGACTTGGTCAAAACTACAAAAAGAAATAAAAGTCTTACAAACATACAGGCATGCACAAGCTCATTAAAGCAACACCCCCCTCTTCCAACACTAGTGATTTACTATATTCATTTTTGGTAATAAAAAAGAACAAGACACTGGTTAGCACTGGAACTAAATCCCAAATGCAACCAGCTAATGGGAAACAAATACATGAAACACTTACTTAGATGTCAGCTAGCATCGTAAACTTATTTATAGTTAATTTTCCTTTGCTAGTTCAAAGAAAACACTGCTCTCCCCGTTCAGAATCTGGAGTTCATGGAGGGTGATTAAAAACGATATTATGGCTTTAAATGTCATTAAAGTGCCAGAAATACTTGGGGTGGTGATGTAAGACTGCAGGGGGACTGCTGAGACTCACCATGAAGCCCATCATGACCACAGTAGTCAGGTAAGCTGGCAGTCTGTCTGTACATGTCAGCTTCACCTTCTCACCCTGAAACACACACACACACACAGAGTTATGTGAAGGACATAGCGTATACAACATATCTGAAACAGTAACTGCACCTCCAGCTAAACGTGTGTGTTGATATGCATATTTCGGCAGCAACAACCTCACGTCTTTCACACATCACACGTCAGAAGTAGCTCTTTATGCCTTGGGCACACAGATGCACACAGCACACACGCACACACACACACACACACACACACAATGTGGCTGCAGTGGACCACAGCTAATTCTCCCCTTAGCTATTGTGTCACATTCAATCCTACATAGAATTGGGTCAGTAAGCTCAGGCGACTGTGTGTGTGTGTTTTTGTGTCCTCTGAATTTAATAAGAAAGACCTGACCTTGGTACGAGACAAAAGGCAAAAGGCTTATAAGCATAATGAACATGCCTGACCAGAGTGCTTTTTACTACACACAGACATGTTTCAGTGTTCCACCAGCACCTTCTCTTCAAAATACTGAAGTGCTGCCATTAGTTTTTTTCCTACACCAGTCAGCTGCTGATGGTTTGTTTCTTGACTGTTGCTGTGTGTGTATATATGTGAGCTTACATCTGAGAATATCTCATTGGAATACACTAAAGACAGAAAGTTGGAGGCCCAGTGTAATCCTCCTATCTGTTTCTATGACGATCAAATGAGGAGATTAATTTAAATAAAGGGAGAATCTTTGTTTGGGTTGAACAATTTACCATTTTGGTAAGACGCACCTATATTGGGTCTAACAAGTTCAGTAGAGTGTTTTTAGCCAAAAGGGTTGGGTAACACAAGAAGAGCAGCGCTAGGGATTATCCTTATGAGAGAAAGGAATGCACAAAGTTTAGATAATGTAATAATGTTTTCTGCGACAGGCAGAGTAGTGGACCAAAAATTTATTTTACATCATGTCATACATGTCCATCACGCATGTTTTATTCCATGTTAGCCCACGAGCCAGAGGAAAACTTCCTTCGATATTTAAAACGAGAGCATTTATGCTGACACTGACTTGCATACTGTAACAGAAAATTGTGATGTGTTCACTTTAGCAGAAACTTAACACACGCTTGGAAGTTTTGTTGATGGCATCTATTATTTATAACTACATTTATCTGTGATACAGTGAGCTAAGGGCATAGCTTTGGTTTGAGAAGTTGGGGGACACAATGACGTGAAACAACAAAGAACCCCCACTCCCCACAATACAAAAAGAAAATACTCGTTTTCAAAAAATACTGAGATGCATAACACAATAAAAACCTGTCATGAAAGCTGCCCTGATGACTGCTCAGCTTTACCTTCGGGGTTGAATGTTCCCGCCTCATTGTCTTTCGCATGACCATGAACTCGTACTCCGCTCGGTTGTGGTCCTGGATGAGAAATCAGTTTAGATGTTACAGTTACTGATACTACTGTATGTTAGTAAACAGTAAGTGTGCCCCACAGTGAACAGTAGAGAAGATCCTTATGCAATTTCAGAATGGAGACAGAACAGCCTGTTCGCATAAAGTTGTGTTTTAAAATGTTGTGTTTAAATCCGAGTACAGTGCTCTGTGCAAGTAAAGATAGAAATGCATCGACCCGCCGTGAAAGGATTAAGTGGAGGACATAAAATGGAAAACAAGCTGTGGATTGATGTTTGATAAAGCAGGACAACACCCAGAGTCAACTCTTAACTCATGTTGCTACAGTTTACAGCGGGTTGTTTTCATGTGTTTAACAAATCGTTTATAATCATACACTTCAAGCTGGGGTAGGCAACGTGGAGAAACCAGCAAGAGACAGCTGGATTTTGAAAGTCACACCGCCTCCCTTTAAAGCCACTCCCCCAAAATACATGTTCACGGGCAAAGTGCACGCAGGTAGGCAGGTAGCCCAGCCAATCATTGACAGAAATGATTGGCTGGGATACCTGCCTACCTGCATTAGTATAGTATTTGACTTCTTTATTGGAAGTTCGAAGTTCTGAAATGAATTGCCTACCCCAGCTTTAACTTCTAAACTTAAAAAGAACATTTTGAGAAATATGTTTCTTGCTGAATCCGAAAACAAAATCGATGTCGTCTTTATGTGTCCAGTACAGATGGTTCCAGTAAATGTTTAGCCTAGCTTAGCACAAAGATGTGATGCTATATACTAAATGGCATGGTAGTTAGCAAGCCACTCCCATTGCTACTACAAAACTACAGTGTGTCATTTTAACACATACAACTCAATAAGACGAGGGTTGCCAACTCTTGTCAAAATAACAGCTGTGAGATTTTGTGAGGTTTTGGGGGATTATGCTGAATGATGGTGATGTTAAGGTACATTAGATGTGGTGTTCACATCTGTTATAAAACACTGTGGCATTGCGGATTTGCAGGTTTTTAGATTTTCAGGTTAACAGCTAAGCTGACAGCTACCTTCTGCCTCCAGTCTTAGGCTATGCCAGGCTTCCCCAACCTATCCCTGTATGTGTCTGTAGTGGACACACTGAGACTGACATCCATCTGACTATGTAAGATAGCAACATTCCATGTTATGCAAAATTTCAAACTGTTCTGTAAATCAGTGTTTAGCTTCCTAAACCCAGCTGTTAAACAATTTCATACACAAAGCTCCATGATGTGGCGTGTCTAATGTGTGCTGTTGTCATAATCCTTTCATGGTGAGGGATAAAAAATTAGCATTTTATGTCCATGTAAAATGCAGTCAGAAGTGAGTACCCATGTAACAGTAATACAGTCTGCAGTAAGCCAAGAGGAGTAAAGAGGTGCTGCATATACAGAGAAAACTAGAAAACAAAGCAAAGGGTTAGAAAGTCTCTTTTGGCTTTTGGAGTGAAAACAGACAAGCAAAAAGATCTGAACACAGATACATGCTGCCCAGGAAGAGCAAACAGGACTGTTGTCTGGTTTAGACTCAGGCCAGCAGGCAAATATTTCCTCTGTGTAGAACATAAAGCTCTTCTTATGGACTGATATTTTGAGCTATTTCTATCAGACAGGGACTAATAAAAGTGCTCAATGACAATTGTGTGGAATAACTTTGTCTGACAACAGTCTGATTCAAATTCTGACCCATCCCTACTGATATTGCATTTAAATCTGATTTTTTTGGCCACTTTGAGGCACCGTAACAAGTTGTAAACACATTATCACCTCATAAAGTTGACATTGTGAATGTGTTAGCAAACAGCTCACTAAAGTCCGATATTCACTCCCCCTCTAGTTCTGATTCGGTCTTCACCATTTCCTGAGGAAAATATCTGGCTCTTTGGCTGCTCAGTGCTTGATCCTCTTCAAATGACACACTCATATTTTCCTCTGGTAGTATGAATACTGATTAGTTCAGCTTTAAGGTGTTTTTTTTCAAAAGAGTGTAGTCCTTCAACTGATTCAATCTTTTACACAGAGGAAATAAAAACCATCTACCCTGAATCTTTGATCTCGTTTGGTCCTGGTTAAGGATGTGCAGATTTTGGAACATACTCATGTTTTTGAGAAATGTATGGATTTGACCACTGTGGGCCCCTTAAGAGCTAAAAAAAAGAGCTGACACGACATGGGCTGAAAGAGTGTACACTATGTGGGGCTCATACTGTATAGGATCAATAGCAGGTACTACATGTATATAGTTTGAGTTTCTTATCAGGGAGGAGAAAATTGGACCATTACTCAACGGCCTACAGGAAATTTCAATCACCAAGGGCTAAAATAATTATACGAACTATACAAATTACATTAAGCCATTTCCATGCAAATTGGCTGATTTATGCAGAGTTCTGCTGTGACTTGGTATTTGAAGCCATCTTTCTAGTCAGGAGACTTTTTTTACTGAAGGAGAAATAGTTATAAGTTTACCACCTTTGGATAAGAGATTTGTTTGTTAGAAACTTCATAACAAAGCAGAGGCTGAGTAGATGCCACATGAGCCACCAGAACCACTAGGTCCAGTGTCCTTGGTTTTACAATGCCCATTTTTGTATTTTCCATTTGACTTTAAAGGTATTTTTCTACACTTTGTGTAAGACTGTGCTACTTGTCTTATCTGTGTGGAGCACAGTTGTCGCTGTTTAAAAAGGAAACATTTTCCCAAGTATAGGACAAAAGAGGAGAGAGACAAGAGCTATGAGTCAACAAACTGTCCTGTCAACTCTGCTGCCATCAGTAGCCACAAACAACAGCAACAGTATTGTGAGGCCACAGGGATGACCAGCATCAGGATGAACCTCAGCGAGACAAAATAAATAAAAATCTCATCACACAGGAGCAAAGAGATGAAGATGTCAAGTGAAAAAGACCCGAGGCAGGTTGTTAGACACCTTGAGGGAGAAAAGGTAGGCGTTAGCAGCTGCAGAACAGATCGAAAAAAGTGTGTGAAAAAGAAAGAAGGTAAGTTTAAATATCAGAGTAAGTCAGAAATAAGACAAGTTGCATCCAAACCTTATGCTCCTCCTGTACAACACACCACACAGATAAACACATAAGGAGAAGATGTCAGTCAGCAGTCATTGTTCCTGAATATTACAACACTTTTGTGTCACTTTTAGAGCCATAAGGGAGCATTATAAAACTAAACATCTTTCATAATAGAAGGCAGTAGCGCTCTGTTCCATTTAATTGTGATTTTAAAGACAAAAACATTCAATACTGATGTCTGAGGCTGTGATTTCTGTGTGGGAACATTTTTGCTGTGGGCTGACTCACTACAGAGCGCACACAAAAGACAAAGGAGGTACATTCATGTGCATATCTTGACCTGGGCCTTTATATTGGCCTTATTACGTTGTGACTGTGCTTTTAGGGTAAGTGCATTGAAAAACATCTGTACTTTTCACTTGTTAATAAGTGCAGTTGTTACAAGGAGCTGAAAATATTCTATCCACAAAGATGGTTCGGCTTGAATTGAGATTTGGAGATGCTGGAGATGAAGAGGTTTATGTAAAGTGAGGAAGTGGAAGGAGCTGCTTGTTTCAGAAAAGTGTTTTCACAATTCTGTATTCCCATTTCAAAGTTTTCATTTAATGATATTCTTAATGTTATTGAAGATGTTATCCAAAAATAACTACTACTAATAATCTACCTACCAGCTCACTAATTATCACCTTATATCTAATTTGCTTAAAAACACTGGGTTGGCCATGGCTCTTCTAATCGAACTCTTGGAAAGAAAGCAAATAATCTTATTTGTCAAACAATTGTTCTCAACTGTTCCCTCGTGGATGTATATCTTTCAACAGGTTTATATGAAAGTTGTTTGTGGCGTTATCTCACCTCCTCCTCCTCTCCGAAGCCCGTGAGGTCCCAGAGATAGTTGAGTCGCATCTGCCGTCTCTTCCAGTGCTCCATGAAGAGAACCGCTACATAACCAAGCATACACAGCAAACTAAACACAGGCTCAAACACAAGCTTATTACATGCCTCTGTTACATGACACTTTTCTCTATATATACACTAACACCATAAGTGATAAGGAATATAGAGTGTGAATCTGCACGCTTTCCTATTGTCAATCTTTCTGTTCATCTATCCACGACATAGACTTGTCAACTATGCAACCCTCAACGAGTCCTCCAACCTAAACGACAACTAGCTCATTTATCCATGTCTCCCAAAACTAAACATATGAGTTACCTACATCAGTCCAGCTACAGGCACCGGTCATTAACTATGTTACATAAGTTAAGTGATGCAAGTCACATGGCATTAAACACGCATTGTGAAACGGTCGCAGTTTGGTCAGTTTTAGGCAACAGAACTACTCGGTTAGGTTTAGGAAACATCATGGTCGTTTTGCCGTTCTCCTGTGTGAAAGTTCTCGGTTGAGAACTTTTCAACTTCATTTCCTCCTTTTCTACAGTTATACAGCCACCTGAGGTCGCTGCCACAATAAACGTAAATATGGGTCAGAATAAGGTGCTGCACAAAGGACCTATTTGGTCGTTTTTCTGGGGAGGATAGACTGTTAACCCTACATCACAGAATAATTTAACGCTCCAATATGTTGATGAATATTGTTACTAATTATCAGCTTGCACCAAACTGTATACCTAGCTAGATGACTGTAGTGTTTGCATTTGAATTGACAATGTCCCATTTATTCCTTAACAAATCACATACCAATAATGCATTTTTCTACCTTTCTACTACTTTTTGACTACCCTATCTTTGGCTCAATAATTTCCTAAAACAGCTGCTTACTGTAGATTTTATCAAACAAAGAGGAGGAAATAGTGCATTTGTTGGGTACTATTTTCAACAGCCGAGGAATCCACATTTATTCTAGTGAATATTTTGGGCAGCAGGACTGTGTATTTAGGGTTGGGTCCAAATAAACTACGGTGTGTGTTGATAGTGATGAAGGAACATATCACCCAGTTAATAGTTTTTGGACAACAATGGAGCTTTATGGTTCAGAGGAAGAAGATACATCAGGCTTTGGTATAAAGCCCTGCTGTTGCTAACAGATGGCAGTGTGGTTTGGCAGGACATCAGAGGGCCAGCCCTGTGTTTACTCAGGAGATGCCTTTGTGGATTACTATTGTAAATTTCATGTTTGCCTTAGGTGCAGTATCCGTAGTAGTTTCCCAAACCCGTACTCAATGGATTACATGAAACTTTCTTTTACTGGAGCAGTGCCAGGAATGCTAGCTGCACAGTCATGAAACATTACTCCTCCGCTGGTCTTTACTGGACTCTTTGGTTGTTGTTTGTGTGATTGGATGAAAATGTGTCCTTACCCCAGAGGGCCATGAAGATGGAGAAGAAGACGGTGGCTGGGTTGTCAAACAGGTGGCTGGCTCGGGCTGTACCACACGCTGTCACCAGCTTCCAGTAGCTGCAGGCGCGGTCGCACAGCGGACACATGGTGATGTTGTTCCTGGGATCACAAATCTCCATACTGACAAAACAGGGATGGAGGGAAGAGATGAATTATTCAAATGGACCGATGATGGCGAACGGATGGTGCAGAGAATCAGGCGACATGGCAAAAACTAAAAATATCTTCGAACAACTTAATGTGGAGAACAAGATTCAAACAAGTCTAAAGCGGGGGTTTCCGAAGGTTTTTTAGACGACGGCACCCTTTAAAGGACGTTTTTAGTCACACCAAGCCATCCAACACACAATATAATATGTATATGTGTTGAAATACTGTATGATAAGGATTGGATTATACAATATTTTATTTATCATATTATATTAATCAATATCAAGTTAAATAATACAGGCCCAATATCGATCGCTCAGAATTAAAGCCAACAGGATCTCTGCAGATTTACATAGAAATATTTAACTAAAAACAAACAATGAATACAATAAAGTACATTAAATGTATTTCATTCCCGAGAGAAAAAGTTTTGTGCTTGTGGCCAAACCACAGTGATTCGGACCAAACAGCATTCTATGCAGAACTACTGGCAGCTACGGGTGTGGTACAGCAAGATACAAAGCGACTGTTCATAAACAACAATGGGGGATTCTAAAGAGGTTAGCATAGATGTTGTATTAGAACTATATGTATATATTTATTTTCACTTAGAGGTGTACTCACTTTTGTTGCTAGCGGTTTAGACATTAATGGCTGTGTGATGTGTTATTTTGAGGGGACAGCAAATTTACAGTTATTGCAAATTTCTTTGTTGAAAAGAAAGAGAGCAAAGAAGGCATTGAAGGACTTTCTCTATAGAAAAGATGCAAACACTCTTCTCCTGACCGGCTTCGGCCCTCATACTACGTCATATGTTGAGTTGATCTCCATGGTTGAAGTTAGCCTGAGATAAATGGTGATAAACAGATGGTTCATCCAATCACCTGCCAAGTATTTGCCTGCCCTAAACAGTTTCCAGCGTAGACATCTCAGATGGTTCTGTCTCATCAGATTATATTTAAAGGTGTAGGACAAACAAATAAAAAGATTGCAGGCATCCTAATGGGACGCGAGGCTGCTGTTGATGTGTGAAGAGAGAACAACCTGCGGGTCTGACTGGCTCTTTATTTGATACCGGACTCCGCGCTGCAGCTGGCTGGCTTCCAACTGTACAGAGCAGACCGCGACACAGAGCTCTCCGGCAAAACAAAAGGTGGAGATATCTGTTTTTATATTAACAATGGCTGGTGTACCGACGTGACAGTGATTCAGCATCACTGTTCTCCTGATCTGGAATTTCTTATCATTAACTGTAAACCGTTTTACAGTTTGTTTACATCTCGCCGCACGCCAACGTTCAGAGGCTGTGACGTCCTGCATCAGCTTCTGTTAGGACAGCTGCATATCAGCGCGCTCCAGGGTGAGTTATAACAATGACAAACCCTGGTTCACAGCTAAACTCAGACAGCTGAGGTTGGAAAAGGAGGAGGCATTTAGGAGTGGAGACAGTGCCAGGCTCAGGGCGTTAAAGTACAGGTTTAGCAAGGAAGTGCAAGAAGCTAAACGACTGTACACCGAGACACTAAAGAACCAGTTCTCTGCAAACAACGCCATTTCTGTCTGGAGGGGGTTCAAACAGATCACAAACTATAAAGTCCCCCTCTCCATAAACGAGAGTCAATTGGACACCATTCCCCTTGACTCTACACCAGGATCCTGTTTGTGGATTTCAGCTCTGCTTTTAACACCATCATCCCGGCCCTGCTGCAGGACAAGTTCTCCCAGCTGAACGTGCCTGACTCCACCTGCAGGTGGATCACTGACTTCCTGACGGACAGGAAGCAGCACGTGAAGCTGGGCAAACATGTCTCTGATTCCAGGACCATCAGCACCGGTTCCCCTCAACGCTGCGTTCTTTCCCCCCTTCTCTTCTCCCTGTACACCAACAGCTGCACCTCCAGTCACCAGTATGTCAAGCTCCTGAAGTTTGTGGATGACACCACCCTCATTGGGTCCACCTACAGGTGGGAGATCGACGATCTGGTGACCTGGTGCAGCCAGAATAGGAGCTCAATGCTCAGAAGACAGTGGAGATGGTCGCAGATTTCAGAAAGAGCACAGCCCCACCCTCCCCCATCATCCTGAGTGACTCCCCCGTCACCACTGTGGACTCCTTCCACTTCCTGGGCACCATCATCTCCCAGGACCTCAAGTGAGAGCTAAACATCACCTCCTTCACCAAGAAGGCCCAGCAGAGGATGTACTTCCTGTGGCAGCTGAAGAAGTTCAGCCTGCCAAAGACAATGATGGTGCACTTCTACACCACCATCATTGAGTCCATCCTCACCTCCTCCATCACCATCTGGTACGCTGCTGCCACTGCCAGGGACAAGGGCAGGCTGCAGCGCATCATTCGCTCTGCAGAGAAGGTGATTGGCTGCAATCTTCCTTCTTTTCTGGACCTGTACTTCTCGAGGACTCTGAGGCGAGCAGGAAAGATTGCAGCTGACTCCTCCCACCCCGGACACAAACTGTTTCAGACTCTCCCCTCTGGCAGGAGGCTGCGGTCCATCAGGACCAAAACCTCTCTCCACAAAAACAGCTTCTTCCTGTCTGCAACTAGCCTCATTAACAAGGCCCGGGACCCCCACTGACACTCCCCCCTTGCAAATGTCTCTGCACATGTAAATACTGTTTCATCTCGTGTCCGGCACCGACCTGGTCGCACATATTTTTTGTTAACTGTTGATCTTTGTTGCTGTATATTTTTATGTTGTCAGCTTATATATTAATTTATATACACAATATTCTCTTCCGTTGCGTGACTTCTGCACAGCACAGACCCAGAATAACACACATGTATATATCTGCGACATTTTTCTTCCATTCCATATTTATATATTTCTGCATTTACATTGACTGTGTGTTTGTCTACATGTAGCACCTTATCACCACAGCAAACTCTTCGTATGTGTAAAACACTATTTGGCAATAAAGCTCCCTCTGATTCTGATTTCATGTATACCACAGATGAAAGAGCCACATCACAAGTATATGATGTTGGGAACGTGCAATACCAGAGAATATTTCCGGCCTCCAAAGAAAAAGTTCCATGGAGCCATGGAAGTCGTAAATTTTAAATGAGAAATTTTCAAGTTCCGAGGTGTCTGGAATGCGGCATTATGCTGAACTCAGCGACCCAGTACCATTACAGCGCAAAATGCATTATGAGGCTGTAGTGTGAAGCAGTACAGGTACATGGAACTGACATACCATGAGCCTCAATCACCATTGTTTCCTCCTTAATATGTACAAAAAACAAACAAACAACCCCCAGAGAACGGACGAATGCCAACTAGCGCTAGATGTGACGTAACATCTGGGATCATTAATCTTCGTGCCTCCAAAATTTACATACACCATCCCACCTTCCAGAGAAGCGGCCATACCTGCTCATAGAGCTAGAGGTTGATCAGTGTGTCTCACAGAAAGTGCTTTTACAGTTCTGAAGGAAAGGTCAATATTTTCTGGTTTTCCCTCCTCAGGCTGCTCTGCCAGAAGTGATTTATGAAGTTTTCTGATGGACAGATAGCTTTACTTGTTGCTAACGATAGCTGCTGTTATAAGATGGCTCTTAACCAGCAGTCCACAGCTTCTCTGTTAATGTCAGAGGTATTTTGAAATTTATTTGGATAGTAGATCCCTTTCTGTATAAACTACACTTAAAACAGGCAGATATTGAAAGCTGCTCTGTATGTGGGCTATAATACCTTTTCCTAAATGGATTATGTTAATAAAATAGATTTTAGTCTCAACAACTTAACATGTAAATATTTGCACATCAATAAATATTTGCTGCTAAAAGTTGCACCTTTTTCAGCAAACAGAGAGAGTGAGAGAATTAGCATGTATATTTTCCCTTACACATAATCTGCTGTAATGACTACTTTCAATGTAGCATATTCTAGTTTATTGTTTTACCAGCACTCTTAATTCTATCCAAAGCTACCACAAATCATTTCTCAAACACCATCTGGCTCTACAACATGCAGTCTACGATACAGTGGCTGTTGAATTCATCTATAATCAATAGGTAATAAGGGCCCGTCTTCCACAGATTCTTGCTGGAGGACCTGATGACACTTGTTGCCATAGATACCAATACATCAATGGGCTGAGCGGAGACGCACACAGCTTCGTCCTGTTATCAACTGGACTAAACTCAAAATACTCCCAAATGGGGGCAGAGGCATTTTTCTTGTTTACTAGTCCTGTAGTGTTATCCACCACTCACTGTCACTGACGAGTCGCTCCTTTTGGTGAGCATAGTGAGTGTGTGGCTGAGCAAGTGAGAGCGAGCAGCAGGTGAAGTAAATGTAGTTTGTCAATAAAGGCTGCAGCTAAAGCCCCTGCATGTATTGTTTACCAGCTGCTGGAAAAGTGAAGGTTTTCACCTTGTTGACAATCCATCACCTCAATATAGCATCTCTGTGTCAGTTTAATAAAAAGAGCAGTGTCTGTATTTATGAGGGTGTTAAAAGTCATACTGTCAGCATTTCTAAAAACCCTGGTATACAGTACTACCTAATACCCAAGCTTAGTGTTCATGATGTGGATAAAATTATCTGTCACAGTACATACACAGGTGCATCTCCGGATTTTTGAATATTGTGGAAAAGTTAATATTTTCCTGTATTTTAAGTCAAAACATGAAACTTCATGCCGTCTCTGGTTCAGGAGTGGCTTGACACTAGGAATGTGACATTTGTAGCTCATTTCCTGGACTCGTCTGTGTCTGCTGGCTCTTGATGCACTGACTCCAGCCTCAATCCACTCCTTGTGAAGCACCCCCAAGTTCTTGAATGGGCTTTGCTTGACAATCCTCTCAAGGCTGCGGTCATCCCTGTTGCTTGTGCACCTTTTCCTACCACACTTAACCTTCCAGTCAACTTTCCATGAACATGCTTTGATCCAGCACTCTGTGAACAGCCAGCCCGCCCAGCAGCACCGTCTGTGGCTTACCCTCCTTGTGGACGGTGTCAATGAGTGTCTTCTGGACAACTGTCAACTCAGAAGTCTTCCCCGTGACTGTGGTTGTGTACCGAACCAGACTGAGCGATTGAAGGCTCTTCTCATTTCTGTATTAGATGTTCTTTATTGTAATATTCTAATATTTTGAAATGTGGAGTTTTGATTTCCATGAGCTGCAAGTTGCTACAAGCTACAAGCTGTAATCATTAAGATTAAAAATGCCTGAAATATTTCACTTTAAGTGTAATATCTCTGATAGGTGAAATTATATTGCCTCATGAAATAAAATGTGTCATCATCAGAAAACAAGACTATATTAGATTGTCATCCCTGGAGTCAGAGTCTTGGTCGGAGCCGCTGTAAAACACCTGTGTATTGTATTCCATGTTGTCAGATTGGCCTCCATCGGTGTCGGAGGCTGTGTTTGATCCCAGCCCAGCTGTTGAGCCCGTTTCTGTTGCCCACTCGACCGCTTCCATCCAAAACTCAATCAGCTAATTTGACTGCTAACTAAGCTGAACTGGGCTAACTTTGGAAAATCTTTAGTTTGGCAATATATGAAAAAAGAAAACATATGCATGGGGAAAGATGTGTGTGTGTCTGTGTGTGTGTGTGTTGCGTACCTTGGTATGTTATCATCGACAGTTGCACAGCCGTAGAGAAATACAATGACTCCTACAATAGCTGCAGGGATCAGCATCTGTGTGTAGACTCCTAACCAGGCAAAATACAGTCCAACCTTCTCCCCGAAATACTTCCTGGGGAGGAGACACGAGAGGCATCAATTGGTCACTTTCACATTAACTATTATACCGTACCACGTGAACATTAATAACTTATCCATAACAAATTAGATCATGGTCAATATGATTAGGTAATGTTTGCCAATATTAAAGCCACATTTTGTTAAGCATTGTAGATGTTGGAAATAATTTCCCTGTCAGACTCATTCCTCAATTCATTCATTCAACTCTTCCTCCACCAACTGCTTAAATCCACTTTCTGTAGCAATCTTGCAAACAAGATAATTGAGTGACATTTATGAAACCGCTGATTTGATAATTTGATGATAATGCATCCTCTTGTTCATTATGTTTTTTGATGTAACATTTATTTAACAGGCCTCGAAGGAAAAGCAAGATGTTTCTAAAGAATATCCCAATTTCACCACTTGCTGAATGTGAGGCTTAAATGAGAGAGAATCATCATTTATAATTCTAAGATACTTGTATTGAGATACAGACTCAGTCTCAGAGCCCTGAAAAGTGATGATAGATGGAAGGTTCAGAGGCTTTGATTACGTAACATCAAGAGTTTTGTTTTGTCAGCATCCAAAGCAAGCTTTGAGTCACACAAGGTATTAATAACAACTTGCTTTTAATGTTATACAGCATTTAAATCAAGTAGCTGACAAAGAGCCTGGGGTCTCATTTATAAAACCTCACTAAAAGTGTACATGCCCCAAAAGCCAAAACTAGCGTACGCCAAAAAATATTCAGACTTGTAAAAATATGCGTACGCACACTTGTAAGCAAGTTCCCTTTAAAAATCACAATCAACTTGAAATGAGGCGCAAATTTGACATGAGGGAGCTCTATGTCCGACCCTTCAAACGCCCATAATTGCCTATAAATGGTCAGTGAAACGCCCCTTATTAATATTAGTACGTACTGACTGCAGGAAGAAAAGGAGGCAAACTCTGAAAGAAAAGCTACAAAACAAAATTTAACTCAGTGTGACACTGATGTTCCTTTTGGTGAAGCTGAAGCATGTTGTACGGTGGGTACAAAACGCACTTTCACACAGCGGTTGTGCACCGGAGGAAAGGGGGGCACACCTTTATAACTGATCTGTAGGAACGGGCATCCCTCCTGAGTAGTGACGTCACTGGCTGGAGGGGGACACACAGACGGGATGACCCAGTTACTAATTTGGATTTCCCCATATGAAAATCAGAATCAGAAATATTTTATTGATCCCCGAGGGGAAATTCTTTGTCACAATTGCAAACTTGGCAAGGTTGTATATAAATATAAGAGTATAAATATAAAACACAAATATAAAGGATATAAAGGTATGTACAATATTTACATTATTAAGAAGTATTATGGTGAACCAAAAAGTACTAGTGAATGAATAGCAGCAGAGAATATTGCACATTAATTATTAAACAGGTAATATTGAACATAAAATAGATAATGAGGTCTAGTTTAATAACTGACTAAGTGTCAGACACTTAAAGGGAGGAGTTATAAAGTTTGATGGCCACAGGCAGGAATGACTTCCTGTGGCGCTCTGGGGTGCATTTTGGAGAAATGAGTCTCACACGGAAAGTGCTCCTGTCTTTGAGCAGCATGTCATGGAGTGGGTGGGAGACATTGTCCAAGATGATGTGTAGAGTGGAGTCTGGAAAAGAGATTAAACCAAATGCATTCCACTTGTGTTTAAACATTTAGCCCATTTAGGCTACACAAACTGTCCACTCACTTAATGAGCCTGCTGATGAGTTAAAAGGAATATGACTTTTTATATGACACACACTGAAAGATTTCTTTTATAAAATAGTGTTATATTGTCCCTAAAGCCAAGCAGCGCATCACATCCACACGCTGGCGCATAGCGTTAGCCTCGAAAACATCGAACATCAGATTACAATAGGGGATTTGAAACTATGCACTCGCATCTGCTGGACTGACGCACTGAAAACGGCATCAATTTAAATTTAATTTGTTCACCTTATTTACGAGAATAAATTGCACTGCATGCAAGTACTAATTAAGATGATTCCGAATTAAATTGTACAACATATTTGAGGCGTTCTTTTCATGAAACAGATATCTCCGTTTGTGTTTATTATCCTAAATCTGGATCTTTTTGTGCGCTGCAAATGATCTTAAATTGTGTGTGTTTTTTTGCACACTTCAGGGAAAGTCAATCAAACAGGTGTTTTTTATTCAGAAAGGCTTTTATACTCAGAGGTAATATTCCGATTTATTTTATACAATAGTAGGTCTATTCATTTCAAACCGTTTCATCCTTCTGCCAAGTGAGTCGCCGTTTGTCATTTCTCCTCTTTATGTGCGTACGCATGGTTCAGAGTTTACTTACAGGACGCACATTTTCCCGTCAAGTTTGTTTTTTATAGATCACAACCTTTGCTTGGGAAGTGGCGTACGCACGTTTCCAGCCCTGTTTTGTACGTACACACTGTTTATAAATGAGACCCCTGGTTTGGTGTAAACGCAGAGCAGTATATCACAGTATTGTTACCATAAAAGTGAACATTTGCATTTGAAACATTTTGGCAGATACTATATATATATATATATATATATATATATATATATATATATATATATATATATATATATATATATATATATATATATATATATATATATATATATATATATAATTGTAGTGATCCCAGGACAGATCCCTGGGGCATGCCCTAGGATACACTAAGTGAGGTGGAAGTGATAACCTGTGTCTACTCGCACTGAGATCTGCCTGATACATAATTTCCAAACCAACAGACAGGCCGTTCTGATCATGCTATACTGATACGTTTTTGCTTTAATATAGAATGATCCACAGTATCAAAAGATTTAAATAAATCAATGAAAAGGGCTGCAATATGTGCTTGTTATTCAAGGTCCATGTGTAACTTGTTACATCAGAGCTACAGTCCCTGACCAGAGTGGGTTTGCAAATGACTATTGCTTCTGTAAAACAGCATCAGTGGAGAATTCATCTGCTTGTGAGAGTCCTCATCGGTCTTTCTTGTCTGCAGGCTGGTGAAGGCAGTGAAAGCACCAGCAGATATAGGAGGTCTGGAAATGTGTCTGAAATTCACCTGATGACTGTGGCAAGAGCACTGCTATGGATCTCACCTGATGAGTCCGATAGGCTGATACTTGTAGAAGACACTGTAGCTGGCCCACTCCTCGTACAGCAGCTGTGAAGAGACGCATGAGTCGATTATATTATACATTACAGTTTACAGTTGAGTTTGCTGTTAGGGAAACTAAACATGTCCTCCATGTTTACCTGTTTGTCTTGATAAATTCAGTATGACATATATATTCTCTAACAGAAAAATTATGTTTATATCCCCTTAATACTTTCAGTTCCTTTCACTTGCAGGGGGGGTTGATTTGATGACTGTGCAGAGGAGAGAGACCTGATTGAATGCTGAGGCATTTTCGTAAACAACCAAGATGGCTGCCACTGATGTGAAAAGTTCTGTTGAATCCGCAATCATTAAATGAAGTGGACAGTAAACTTATCTAAAAGAAGAACAAACAACTGCACTTAAAGCTTTTGTAGATAAGAAGTCTGTCGACGTCCTCTAATACATTAAAGATATATACGCAAATATACATGCCATAATATTTGCATATGCGTTAAATAATAAATCCACTGATGAAGGATCACAATAATGTATTCTTGTGCTAAGCTTGTGAGATCAAAACACAAATCCAAAGGAGGAGCTGGGTGACATCAATTCAACCAAAAACAAACCTGCAGCCTGGACAACATATCACCATTTATTTTAAAGAGAGACCATGGTCCAATCAAACAGAGATTTCTGTCAGGTCTTGTTATGGGCAGACAATCATCATAAACATTGACATTAAATATATGCCTCCCTTATTGTCACTGGTCTACAGACCTTTTCAACAACAGACATTTTGACTTGTCAAAGAAAAGCAAAGGTGAAAGTAATGACATTAACGATGATTGTTACACTGAAGTATCTCAGTAAGCCATGTAAGAGTTTATTATTATTTTTGTTTAATTATGAAATGGCGCTCAGCCTTATACGCTAATAGCTATTATAAAAGTGATATGACAATATGAATGTAGACTATGTAAATAAATGCCATGTACTACTACAACTACACTAAAGCTACGCAGATTCACTGAATGTTGTTGACAGAAGACTGACAGACACTATTTCTGTTATTAATATTAAGGCATATAGAGTTACTGGTTGTTCTGTAAATTATTTCTATGTAAACAGTCTACATAGACTGTTAATGTGTAGGCTACTGTTTGTGCTACACTGAGTGACTAGCCTACAGCACTAACGGTTATCTAAGAATGTTAAATACTATTAAAATATGTACAAAGCTAACTTTGAAAAGTGACATTACAGTTCACAGTTAAACATATACTTTGTACAGTATATTGAAACAAAAAGAAATGTTTGGAACAAAAAGGAGGATGAATTTCAGCATTATAATATGGTAATTACCAATTTTACTTCCAAGAACTGGAATTGTTAGGTTAGGCTATATATAATATTACTAAGGCTGGGCATGTTAATGCGTTATCTCGTACGCCGGCAATTATTTTATTTCAAGTTAATGTGTTAGTATTATTATTTTGAAAGTCCGTCGCTCACAGGCTCTGAATACACAGACAGACCATGGGTCACAGGAGGGGCGGGATGTTGATCAGCCTGCAAACCAGCCACCCAAACAAGCAGTGGAGGGAGGCTTCAGCAGACTATGCTGGATGCAGCGTGTGGGAGAAGCAGATAAACAAAAGCAAGACAAGCGATCAGACGCCACAGCGAAGTGGAGAGCTACACACTGCATGCTAATCAGTATTGGGGAAGATGTCGGCCTTAGGAACGTTCTTAAAATCACAGCGTAGTCGCTTGGCCCCGCAGGATTGCTCTTTGCTCCAGCAATCAGACGGGGAGACAAGCGCTCCGCGAGTAAACGGCAGGCGCTCTATGGGTAGTAACCACGGCAACGATTCTGTGCGCTACACAGCTGTAGCCTATTTAACCTAAGTTAAAATTATAGGCTACATAGCTTTACCTGATGGGCCTTCATCTAGTTTTGCGGGGATGCTCTGCCATGTGAATTCCCTCCTGTTGGTGTCCTATTTAGTAAACAGTAAGAGATTCTGGAAACTCCTAAACAGAGAGGATCAGTCTCTCTTCTAATGATTTGTGCTGCGTGTTTTGTACAAAAAGTTCAAGACAATTCAACTTGGGCAGGGCGGGCGTGTGCGTGAGGCGACCACTTCACCTCACTCTAACAGGGACACTTGCTACTGAGCACTGACTGTTCCTGCTGCTCCCTGATAAAAGAAAAATGGTTCTGCTGTTGAGAAAAAAAAAAACTACAGAAAACAGATTTATATATGTGAACCTGTTGCTCAGAAGGTGCCTGTGTTGATGTTCTGATCGTGGTTTTGGACTCTAACTTGTTTTAACAAGCTAGATAAAAGGTAATGCCCTGGCAGCAGCAAGCAGAAACATTTTGTCTGCCAGTTTACAGCAAAATGCACTGAAACTAATGGAAGTTTATCAAGCAGCAGGACAATGAGCCAAAGCACACTGCCAACTAAACAAAGGACTTCATCAGGGGGAAAAAGTGGAAGGTTTTAGACTGGCCAAGTCAATCAGCTGACCGTAACCCAATAGAGCTGCATTTCACCTCCTTAAGAGAAGACTGAAGGGAGAAACACCCCGAAACAAACAAGAACTGAAAGAAGCTGCGGTAAAAGCCTGGAATAGCATCACAAATGAAGAATGCAACAGTTTGGTGATGTCGATGGGTCGCAGGCTTGAGGCAGTTATTGCAAGCAATGGTTCTGCCACCAAATGTTAAATGTTATTACTAATTATTTGTTCCATTACTTTTGCTCTCCTAAGAATGCTGTAGTCTAATACAAACTCTGATATGTCCTGAGTTGTTATATACCAGGAAATGGCAGCTGAAATTCTGAACTCTTGTCTCATCCTCATCTTTTGATCTTAAACCCAAATGTCTTCAGTGAACAACAAAAACAAAGAATTTGCCTTACCGTTCCAATACTTTTGGAGGGGACTGTACATTGGCTCAATTGTTGAGTGTCTCTGTGATCATATAACAATCATGATCCCATAGGCATCCAGGAATTGAGCAATTCAAAGCAAACTACGGGGCAGGAAAGGGGGCACCTCTTTCCAATCTTTGCCTGAGAAAGGCCCACAGTCCCAGACTTTGAAAACCCTTGATAGAGAGCGAACCTAAGCTGTGGGTTAGCATACTGTCATTACATTTGCAGCTGCAAAGCTAACATGAAGCTAACATGCAGAGAGGATGAGGCTGTCCCAGAGCAGCACAGCAGCTCCAGACAGCAATATTCACAACTCTCCTGCGACTATAGCTAACATCACAACATGTTTTACTGAACTAGAAAGTAAGCTGAATGTCTGTGGGCAAGTCATTTAACGTTACTGACACACACATCATGGCTGGAATGGCTGTGTTGCGTGACGGGGTAGTGGGCCACTTTGTTTGTTTCCTATTTACAGAGCCAGGGCTGAAGACAAACACTGATTATTTTTTTTCAGTGCACACAGAGAGCAAGAGATATTTGCTAAATTTGACTAAAAGATGTTTACTGGATTAGAATAACTTAACCCAAATTTAATTCTAGTGTACTATAATTTATAATGTTGCGTGATAAATTGAAGACAAGAATGAATGAGTGTGTTCTTGGAACTCTGACCAAATGCTCATGATGAATAAAACAACACTCGTGTGTGCTCCTCAGTGTGATTTAGTATGATTTGGTCAAATATTTTCATATGCAAATTACTGCTGTATAATACAGTTTTGCAATCATCTAACAGCTGTGTTTGTGTTCTGTGTATACGCTCTGTTCCTACTGCTTGTAGGCAAAAAGCACATAAATCACTGTGAAACTGTGGAACATTGTCACACGATCACACACTCACATTCACAGGCAGGCCCAGACGAGTGTTCAGATTGGAGATCACAGCAGATTGAGCCCGCAAGAGAAAATTACACTTCACGTTCAACCTGGAATCTCAATATCCTTACTACAGCCGAGGAAACCCTACTTCTTATTTATATTATATATATATATAAAAAAAAAAAAAAAAAAAAAATCACACACACACACACACACACACACACACACACACACAGTTGCTGTGGAGGCTCTTGAAAGCATCAAGCTAAAGCTTTTCTGATGCTTGAACAACAGGAGGGGGAATTATTAGGCTGTTGCCTTAGTGACACACAGCCTACAGTATAATTATGGAGATTGTTAGCAGGGGAGGAGATGACTTCAGACTCAGCATGAGCTCTTATTTTCTTTCAAATTACCTGGTTAATTTTATTCATGTACAGTAGGAGGCAAATGCTCAGAAATGTTAGCATGGTAGTCTGTCATGCGTTGTTACTCATTTAAAAAAAAAAGCCTAATGGTACGACTGACTGAGAAGCATGTTTCAGTCACGTATTAATATTACTTTGCTGTGTTATATTCAGGACAAAGAAGAGGATAAGCCCTCCAAACCCTAACTTTTTACACATTAATTGTATAATTGAGAAAAATTTGTTAAACAATTTGAGTGCTTTTTGCTTCCTTAATTTGATCGGTTCCTGATAAAAAAAAAACGAGAAAAATTGTTGGGAGTGAAACATTTGGTCATTTTTATAGTGATGGGAAGGTGGTGCAGTTTTACATTATGTGACATGTTTGTGAATCATTTATGCAAATTTACATTTTTAAATTACATTTTAGAGAAGAAAAATTTGTGTTTGATTAAATGATTTCATTTTAATATTGGCAGCCCTGGACTTCCACTGTTAGCTTGCTAATCTGTACTGGTTTATTTGTCATTATCAGAAAAAAAGCGCTCATTAAATGGAAATAAACTCTCTAAACATAGAAACTCTTCACCTCCTTAAAGCAAATATAGAGGCAAGACGTTTGAGCCTCCTAAAGCTTTCTAAATAAACTTTAATTTTACATAAATCATTTCAAACGCTTGGCTCCAGACCAGAAGTAAAGGCAGAAATTAGCCCAGTAGACAGAGGATGCAACAAAAAAAAACAATCTGAAGAAACTTTATCTTACCACAAAGAAGCTCACCGGCAAATTCAAACAATATCAAGTACACATTAAGGACAAAAGCAATCCTCACAACCAAGAGAGATCAATTTCTTTCATTCTGTTGGATTGGAAAGATGGCATAATTGTAAAAAACCCAAAGAAAGGATCATTGGCAAAAAACACCAAGGAATACTACTACTTTCAACACCAGGGAAGGTGCTAAACCATTACTCACTACTGTAAAGGCTTCAGAAGGCGATTGATTTAAGACTGAGGGAAAACCAGGCTAGCTTCAGAAATGGTAGATCTTGTGCAGATTTTGCTGATGACATAGCACTACCTTCACATTCTCACCAACAGATGCAGGACAAGTCACACAAAATAGAAAGAACTGCTGCTACAATTAGGCTCAAAATCAAAACATCAAAAACAAAAGTCATGAGAATCAATAACAAGAACAATGCACCTATAATCCAATTTAAGAAGGTAGACGGCTTGGAGGATGGAGGAAGTGGTCAAAACCAGAATAGAAAAGGCAAGAACAACTTTCAACATCCTAAATATCTTCTGTTAAACAAAAAAAACTAGCACTTAAAACCAAACAGAACGTCAAATCCATTTTGTTGTTCGGATCTAAAAAATGGAAAATTACCACCAACATACTCAACAAACTACAGACATTCATCAACTGCAGCCTTCAACTCCTCCTATGAGTCTACTGGCAAGAACCCATATGTTTCACTTTTTGTGTGCATCTCTTGCCACAAAACAAAATGTATTTTCTAGGAACTTGTGAAGTACAGGGATGCCAGTACTATTTAAAATGGCCAAAATGAAAATAAGAATGAAATCGGAACTGACAAATACATTTCAGTGTACCCTAAAGACCGACTCATGAGACACCTGGACAAGATAGACATGCATGTGTTTTTACAGTGATTGAATGAATGTAAAATGGACTTTGAATATGAAAATGAAATTTGAATTATGTTCTGATTATAGTTCATTTACATTTTTATTGTAATTTTTGTGATAGAGATCTCCCCGGGCCTCTTTTGAGAAATCTGACTAAATCTATGCCATCAAAACCCCTGGACAGGATATAACACGTCAGTGGCTGAAAAGCACCAATCAGAGGACACCTTTCCACTGCTCTGGTTTCTAGCCAAGGTTGGTGAATTTGTAAAAAACATTTTTGTTTGGACAGATTTTGAATGAGTATTTGTAAATTGGAAGTGTTGGTGTGGTGGCATCTGATCCAATTTATTGACTGGTGGACTGTCTTTACCTACCTTCCTGTCGTTAGATTCTGCATTCACGCCATCAATGTCTCCCTGTAACATACACACACACGTACACAAAAACCCACACACGCAAATATTACAATTTGTTCATCATGAATGTAATGATGCATGTAATTTACAACATTACTTTATGAGTTGTAATATGTCAGAAACCTGAAATTCTACTCGCAAATAGGACCAATTACACAAGAAGCAGATGCTTTGATGATTTTCATATTTGAAAACCCGCTGAAAGTGTGAGGGTGATACTTACATCATGCAGAGGATAAGCAGATGTATAGACACCATTGGCTAGCAGACTGGTGATCCCTGTGAAAAGGTGTATTTAACAGGATTATAATCCGGAAGCACACACACACACACACACACACACACACACACACACACACACACACACACACACACACACACAGCAGTCTAAATCTTAGCAGAAGAGCTCTGGAAAAAAAGAGTTAAAAGGTACAATGTGTAAGAATTGAGACTACTCTCCACATGTCAAATTCATACTCCATAATAAATAGGAGGCAGCTTGGTCAGTTAGCTGTGCAGCTATTTCGAAGATGTGCGTGCGAGATGCGTGGTGGGGCTTTTCAGCCTCTTATGGCCTGAAATGAGTATTACAACAATAAGCGCTTAAACAATTAAATATGTGACCTAATTTGTGATTAACTAGAATTAGCCTAAGCCTAAACACAAACAGCGCTACTGTTAGCTCCACTGGTGTCGCTATAATTTCAGTGTTGTAGGGTAATGTGAAAATTCTGAGATGTTGGCTGAATTACTCTGAGTAAGATTGAATGAAATTCTGATGATGAGATGGAACCTGACATGGAACAAAAATCCGGGGACAGACTGATTACCGGATATGTCATTTATTGATCATACACACATTTGGAGGAGATCAAATGGAGATGAACTGCTAGAGACTCTACAGCATCAATAACACCAATAGGTGGGCGAAACAGCTCAGTGCGTCTGGGCCTGTTTTAACATGTACTGTAAAATTTACAGTATAATGGTTTTGCAGGCAATGTATTTTGAGTGACCGTGTGTGACCATGTTGGCTCCTGAAGAACCGTAAAACAAAAGCTAAAACTTGACCAAGATAAATACATTTTGGTACATCAAACCCTGAAGTATTTTAATGTGTGTTTTCTGTATGTTTATGTTACACACTATTTCTGTGTGTGCGCTCACTGTGCATCATACTGATTAGAGTAAAATAAATAGTTCATTTACAGCATAAAAAACACCACTGATGTTGTTAGATCTATGTAAAAAAAACAAACACTGCATTTTGATTTATCCCTTACCCATGGAGTATTTAGCTCTGGTGCATCTTGTCCTCTTCAGTACCTCATAGACCTGATGATACAACACCGCTTTAGAAACTCATATTTAAATATGCAGGTTCCATTTTTAAAACATGAGAATGTAAGTGAGGAGGAGCAGCAGAATTTTTAATCGTATAATAGACCAGGTTAAAATTGTTAGAGGGAGAAAGAAGAAGGCAAAGTGCTGAGTTTCGTATGTCTGTCCTCAGAGAAGCTGTTGATCAGCTCAGTGTAAAACAAAGAGCCCTCCACAGAGCTGTATTGATGAGAGCTGGATATCAGCTGGGAGCCAGCAACTGCTGTGATTGAGGCGCTCCATCCAATAATGAGAAGCTATACACATTACCCAGTCATTAGTCAAGCACTGCAAAGTGCTGTGAGGGTGTATGGGGGTATGCCAGCACACCAAATGTATTTGTTTTTCATAGAAGCCCCTCCCTCACGGAGTCATGCATGCAAGCAAGGGGTCTTATTGGAAAGAAGTGCATATCAGGGAGCGCAGGGTGACAGGTCAGTGTTGTTAGATCTATGAAGAAAAACACATTATCTATTCTAAAGGAGGGGACACATGCTGTCACTGCGCTGAATTAACACAGTTTCTTTTATCTGGCGATCTTAAGTGACCTCCTGACCGCACTAATACTTACTATTGAGTTCCTGGTCTTGCTGTCAAAGAACTTGTCCCTGTCAGACAGATCAAATCTGGCAACAAAGAACAAAACAGGTCTAGTTTTAGTTGCAGAGTACAGACTGATGGTAGCAGATTTTTAAATAAGCTTTTTATTTCTTTTATTTATTTATTTATTTTGTTTTATAATTAAATTATAACAAATGACATCAGCAGACTACATACAGTACCTCGGTAGTTCTATGGTGCAGACTACTATTGTTAATATAATGCTAAAGGGGCTTTAGCACACAATGAAGCTGCACTAGCAGATTTTTTTTGTGAGCATTGATGAGATTTCCATGAGACAATCACAAAGAAGTCAGATGATGTACTGTATGTTCATGAACAAGTACTTCAAACCAGATGCTATGTCATTACGTTACAATACAGTGGTGTAGGCTGCATTTTCACATCATAATGATAATGACTGGAGGAGGCTGAAATAGTCAATTGATGGCTCCTGAAACTGATTGCTTACTGTGACCCTGCAACAGAAATCCTGACTTCTGTTCATCCATCACCTCTGCCTATGCTGTTTTAATCTTCACTCCTTATCTACTCTTTTATTCTCAGTGCGCTTTGCCTACATCCTATTTGATTTGCTACCTTATGATAGCAATAGGGGCTGACCTGTCGTTGCTGTCTTCTAACTTGGGTCCTAGTTTAGCTTCTGGCCTGTTTACTAGCTTTGCTTCTAAAAATCCACAGATAATATAACATCTTTTACTGATACAATGGCATGTCCTGTAATGCTACAATTGGTATTACTAGTCCTATCATTATTATTATCATTATCATCATTTCTATAATTATCTGCACCATTATTCATACTCTCTCTCTCTCTCTCTCTCTCTCTCTCTCGGCATGAACGTCAAAAGAACAATATTGCCAAAGCTTCAAGGACAATACAAGAGAACAATTTAATTCATACAGTTCATTAATTAAAAAATAAATAAAAACAGTAAACATGTGTGTATGCCATAGGTCAGTAGTATACAGAAGTAATTTTATGTTTAGGAAAATCTCTCCCTCTCTCGCTTTCCCTCTCAAAAATGTTATTGAATTGGTTTAAGTGACAACAAATCAAATGGTAACAACAAAGGACAAATTAAAATAGACTGTAAAGCCCTTTGAGGCAAAGTTTTAAAAGATAATTTTCACGATTAATCAATTAGTTATTTGGTCCATAAAATGTCATAAAATGGTGAAAAATGTTGACCTGGGTTTCTCAAAGCCCAAGGCAACATTCACAAATGCCGTGTTTTGTCCACAACCCGACGATATTGAGTTTACTGTCATAGAAGACAAAAGAAGCCAGAAAATATTTACATTTGAGAAGCTCAAATGTAAATTTTTGCAACAATTTTTTCTTAAAAAAATAGTTGCAGAATCATATAAACTAACTGATTAATCGACTAATCATTGCAGCTTTATTAAACACCATGTCTGATAAAGCAAGATTGAATTGGTGTGGATTGAAAGCCACACTGTAATCTATAACAAGGCTTAATCTCAGGGAAATGGCTTGGAGTGTTTTCAAAACTGATGAAGATTAAGTGATGGAGAAGATGTGGAGGGAGATCTGCTAGCTGTTAGTCAGAGCTATAAATATAGCTGCCTACTGCCCACTCTGTCCTCTATACATCCCAGCAGGCTGACATTTATGCTAAGACGTTCTTCTTCTCTGATCACTGCCTTTGAAGGTGGTTTCATGTGTTGGGACTAAACAGCAAGCATCAGTGAAGTCATGACTTCTCTCTGTAGTTAATTCAATTAATCAGTCTAAATGCTTTATTTTTCTAGTTTCAAAATCCTCTAGCACAGGGTTAAGAACGTGGAGATTGCTTTTGTGATTCAGGCTAGCTGTGTTTGTTTCCTCGGGGAGAAAAGGCTGAGGGATGGGAGCTTCAGCAGACTGCAGCAAGAGAAAGTCACGCTTCAGCCTTCCTGCCTTGCTCCAGTCAAACAGCTCGGTGGGCTTGTGTGGGGTGATTTGTTAGTCCAATTTACACCTCTGCAGTTGTTACTTCTCCATGCTGTCTCAATAATGAAAGCCCCTCTGTGGGTAAAAATGCCAATTCCACTTGGATGTGAAACAAAATGAAATATGGAGGATGGTGCTCTGATTTAAAAATGCAAAAGTTTAAGATTTTCTTCTTTCAGAAATCAAATTTGCCAGTTACCTAACTTGCCCCTGGCAAAACAGTCATCCTTAAGCAAGAGATCATGATTAAAAGGATCTCCAGCTGTTAGATGTAAGTTGTTTCAGTGTGATTGGAAATCTTACCAACTTGACGTATCTCACTGCACCATGAGATTATTATTATTAGTTTAACTCATTTCTGGCCCTTCCTCTTCTCTGACTCTGAGCACACATCATTTGCTTAAAGCAACATTTATTTAACAGCGTGTTTAAATCCATGGATAGACAACCTGGTTAACATAAAACAATTTAGTCATCCATGTAGAGATTTCAAATGTGTGTTTCATAACATCCACATTCCTATCACAGAGTTGTTATGACCTACTATGTAAGCAAATAGTTGCCTATACCTGGGGCAACATTCACATTCATTTTTACTTAAATTACTCTGCTTTAAACTCAGGTCTGCTCTCCACTCCTGAGAAAAAATGGCTCTTTAGCAGCTAAATGCGCCACTGTGTTCACCAGCTAGTTGCTAACATCGTCTGCCTACTGTTTGGTGGTGAGCAGGTAGCGTACATGGGTTTATCAGAGAAGAGTGCCAAAACCAAAATAATGAGCTAAAAGAGGCAAAAAAAAAAACCCCAAAAAGAAACAAATAAAGACTTGTGACTTGGGCATGTAAGAGGGATGTGCATTGATCAATATGTTGATTGCAGGGTGTGATTGTGTCAATTCAGTGTAAAAGCTCTTTGGCATGCAGATATTCTTTTTACGGGACTAAGCAAAGGTGCACAAAGCCACACATGAAATATTACAGCCAGTTTGACTGTCTGTCTTTACAAATGAAAGTAGACAATCAGATGTTACTCACAGATGCTGCTTCTCTCGGGAGAAAGGGTGAGAGAGGGATTTGACGCTTTGTGGTCGGTTAGCGTCTACCTTTGGGTGGAGAGGAGCTGTGACTTTGTGAATGAACAGTCGGATCTTCTCCACCAGATTACTGCCTTGTTTGACTTCGTAAACCTGCAGAGAACGCAAAATAACTATATTTAGCTGGAAATTAGAGGACTCTGAATGCAGTTAATCCTATATAAAAACAGGTGGTCACATTGAGATCAGAATTTTGGTATTTAGATGTGACCAGAGATCATAGGAAATTAGGGCTGGACAATAAAACAATAATAATCGCAATATAATTTTTTTTCAATAACAATATAACAAATGTTCAACAAATATTCTATAAATGTTTGATTTTATTTACTTAAATCATATACAAATTAGGACTTCATTTTTTTTTCTTAAGATGTTTTTTTGTTGAGGAAAAAGGACTGAAAAAAGCTTTTATTTAATTTTACTTGTGCATATTTGTTGACAAAGATTTTATCATAATTGTTATTAATTAATTAATTATTATAATTAACCATCAGGTTTCTTCAACTTTCACTAAGGAGCAAAAATCAGCCTTTAAACTCGAAATAATAACAATTTGATACTTATCATGATAATTATCGATAACTTTTTATTGTGATATTTGTAACATTTTTGGCCATATTGTCCAGCCCTAGAAGAAATTTGTCTGTTTGTCTGTTCATAGTAAAGCGATTATATATGGAGGCACTTTGGGAGCCCTGACAGGTTTTGTATATGGGCATTAACCAGGCTTCTCTTCTGTGCTCTTGAAAACAGCATACAGTTTGTTTTGTCAGCATTTAAAATAAGCTAATGTTTAATAAGAGAGATTCAAAAGCAGACTGTAGGTTCAGAATGGTTAGGAGGTTAAGAGAAGAGATATTGCTGTATATAGTGATTAGAAGAAGACGACCAAGACTTGACCCTTGCAGGACACCTTCACTAACCTCAAGAACACTTAACTTGGAACCACTAGAAGCTGCTCAAAAGAAATAAAGGCAAAGCTTTTGAAAAGTTAATTGCATTGGGTTGGCAAATATGAATTAACTCCAGTCAAAGCAGGAGAGAACATCCGCAGTGTGCATGGAATTTCTTGTAGACCGTGCAGAAGAGATCCCTATGCTACGGTAGGACACTTTTTATGTTGAGTAAGGGTGTTTGTGTGGCCTATTTAAAGACACCATAACTGTAGCACATCAATAAAACTACTATGGGATAGCAGCCGTGCTCTTCCCTCCACACAGGTGTGTCCATAATTTGCTTAATGGTTTAAATCCTGGCTGCTGAGGTTGTTCTCAGTTGTTTGTCACCAGAAACATGGACAGTTACTTGGGACTCTAGGGTACGGTTCTGATGGTTATTCATGTATTTTGCATTCCAATTGGATTTCTATCACAACTGTAAGAGCCGTCATCACTAAATGGCGTCACTGTGTTATAACGCTAAATGAATGAAAGGGACAGAGCAACATTCATCTTCACACTTTTCACCACTCAGCACTGCAGCTCCGAGAGCCAGTTCAGTCAGCCTCGGGGCCAGAAAAAGCTACAGTAAATAATCATTTGACAAAAAGGACAATTTGCTGATTGGGTACCTTTTTTGTTGGCATCTTGAGCTTCATGAACTCAGCCTCTCGACAGAGAACATTCCAAGGGGCATGGATCTTTAAGAAGCCGATTCCTGGGATCTTACTCTGAAATACAACCAAGGATTGGATATTTCAATACTATTCTCTGTGAACCCACTGCACAAACATTGTACAGTTCATGACTTATCAAAACGTATAAACCACCCCTATAAACAATACATTTTTGTTTGACATATGGAAATTCTAGCTGCGAGAGCGACATGTTGATTTTCTGTTAGATTTAAAGCTCTGCAGTCTGGTAGAGTCCCAGGAAAATCCTCTGCATCCACTTCAGCACAAAAATGCGTCTTTGTTGCTGCATATGACATTTTCTCTGCAGCCTCTACTGTTATGTAAAACCACTCATACACTGCCAGACTCTCTTCACACCGTGCAGCTTGGCACACTGACCCGTCTGGATCCAGAAATACATAACCAATTCAAACTAGCTGACTTGCTGTACATATCACACAGATTTACAATGTATTTCAATATATAATGTTCAACCGGTGTTATTTGTTCTGTCTGCTGATTATAAGTAATAGCTGATAAAGTTAAAAATGTTGTGAAACAGGGTGGCTGCAGTAGAAACATGATACAACAAAAATAAATATTCTGTTAATAAGAATATGGCAAATGTGGTTTATATAAACTGGCAGCAACAGGAAATATAAGTATAAGTACAAATATAACAAATCTAAAATGTAGTTCACACACTGTAAAAAGGAAAAGAAACTGTAACCCATTTCCATAATGTAATTTAACCATATGGAGGCTGAAGTGTGCCAAAGTTATTCAAGGACTTTCAGAGGGTAATTCTAATTAGAAACGAATATCTTTATGGTCATTGCACAAGTACAAGAGTAAGTTTGCAGCTTCCAAACTCCGTTTGCAGTAATTTACTAATAGGGTAAAAATAAAACAATAAGTAAGATAAAATAGCAAACAAACAGTATAAACAGGCAGAAGTAAATAGTGCTACAGCTCAGATGTGCAACGCAGCAACAAAACCAGTACAATAAATATACATATATTTTATATTCATTTTTTAAAAATCAGTATCAAACATCTACATGCTATATAGATAAATAATATATACACAGAAATAATAATAATTTATAGACATTTTTAGCACTTAGCTCTACAGCCTCTGTTACACACACACATCACACTGAGTACCTTCTGTTACAGACTGTGCCCAGTATCACACACTGTGCCCTAACTTCAAGCTGGGCCCATATGTACAAAACAATGAACTATTCTCATCTACTCTCATACAGCTTAACCCCTATTTATTAAATCAATCATGTCTCACTGAAAAACAATAGTAGAAGTAATCGTAAATTCAATGCTTGGTCAATGGTTGACACTCTTGTCTGACGTTGATATTGAAAGTTAGCTGAAGCATGAGGTCATAAATAAAGATGACATTGCTTATTCTGTAGCAGTTGGCCCCTCTTCTACAAAAAATGGAAATGTTATTCAAATCTATCTCACACACACATGCAAATTCTCAGGATAACTAGTCCAGTCACTCTCAGATTCACCCCACCACATCAGTCACTTGACTAATATTAAACATTAATAATAAGAATAATGATAGGAACAACATCATTATTATTATGATAATAGTAGGACAAATGTCCCGTAATTAGGCCCAAAATGTCTGCCGAACGTTGGATTTCTTCACATCCTAAAGTGGTGTGCATGGGGGTGTACTGACGGTGATAGTTTGCATTTAAAGCGTTTGGAGGGTGGTGGTGTGTGTTTTTAGCTAAAAGCTTAAACTAAAAACACACACAAAACTCTAATGTAAGCTGCAAACATTAGACAAAAGCATATTCTCTCTTAATGTTAAAAGTAGAGGCTCACTGCTTGAAAATATAATATAATTATATGAGGGTAGAAAAAGGTTATATTAGAATGAAATAATTTCATTTACATTTTTCCTTTAATATAAGGACAAGATCTAGACTGCAATACAAGAACAATGGTGTTTCTTTATTTTCATGTCTGCTGCATAGATTATTAAATGGTGAGGGCTGGCTTGCCTGGGAGCAAAAGGTAAATTATCTAAACAGGGCACCACATTCAGCGCTAAAGTTTTCCTACGATGACTGCTCCCCCCCCTTCTCACCGCTTCATCTTTTTCCAGCTCCAGCCCCATCTCCAGGAGGTTTTCTTCAAACTCCTCCCGCCTGAAGCGCTTGTCATCCTCATGATAGTCAGTCTGTTGCTCCTGGGCAGCGATCTCTGGGTCTTCCTTTGGCTGCAGATGGGCTCGGCTGTTTCTCATGCTCAGGCTGCGCCGAAGCCGTCGTATGAAGTTGTTGTCACCAAACCTGGACAACCGGCGTCGGATGCTGCTGGGCTTCTGGATGTGGTATGCCAGCACGTAGTCCACCTGCCGCCCATCAGAGAAGTATGGGCCTAACCGTGGATACAGGTTTTTCAATGGCTAGAAGCAAGACAGGCAAAGAGACAAAATATCCCAGATTAATGTAACATGCAGTGAGTTTTGGCGATCAGTATTGACCAGCAGTCACTTTATAAGTAAAAGCATTTTATAAGCATTCCACACAAAAACATGAAATATACAAGTCATACTGTACACAAATATTGACTATAAATTCATACTAACAGGGCACCACCCTGGAATCAGGGACGAATACCCAAATGTCAAACAGTCTCAAAATGATGGTTGCCCACCAAGATATGCTAATGTTTAAACACTATTTTACATTAATAAGGTTGACAGTGAAGGGTGAATCCGAGCAGTGACCATCACAACCAGCTGTTACTACAATACAATACACATTACAGCGAATGGTTCCAAGGGATAGCCTTAGGGCCAGAGTCCACCAAAGCGTTTACTTTCTGAAAACGCCTAGCAGGAGCGTTAGAGTGCGACACTGTGGTTGCTATGATACATAATTTCCGTGGAGGCCATGTGTTGCAAGAAGGGTAGCCTACTTAATTTTAGTGAATGTAAAAATGTCACCACAAAGTACGTAGGCCTACTTGCTCTGGCCTTTGCTCTGCATGAAGAGAAGGCTGAAATATGAGAGCACAGACTGTCCGTACGTGGGTTCATGAGATTTTGCGGGCGAGGACGAGTAGGCACAATGCTTCATTCAAGATTGGATGTGCTCGGAGCGGTGTTTGTCCCGCCCCTCCTGCACTGTGATTGGACAGCTGGGTAAAAAGTGACAGTGACGAGCGCAGCGTTTTACCGCTCAGCGTTTTACCAGCTAGCAAAAACGCGGCACTCCCATTGGAATGAACTGAAAAAAATGCTTTGGTGGACATGGGCCCTTATATGTCTCAAAAACCAAGCACCAGCAGGGGTGGGAATCACCAGAGGCCCCACGATACAATATTATCACGATCTTATGTCATAATATATTATTGCGATTTTAAACATATTGCGATATTTTGCTATTTTTTACCATTTTTCCAACTTCAAATTGTATCCCCGAAGGAAAAACCTTTTTCAGTGAACTGAAAAAGCAATTGATTTCATTATTATTGTACCAAAAACTTAAATTCTCATGTACAATTTAAATAATAAAAGATCGATACCCGACGTCCGTGTATCAATACTATATTGCCACGAAAAATATCGCGATACTATGCTGTATTGATTTTTTCCCCCCACCCCTAGTCACCAGATGGCGGATCACCGTCCAATAGGTAAATATAAAATAATATCCCAATCAGTCAAAGTTGAGTGCATAGAAGCTGATTGTAAAAGTTAGTTTTCAGGGCGTTTAACCAAAGCACACGCGTAATTACCGCCAGTGCAGCCCAGGAGCAGTGGGGACCAGTGGCCCTGAGTGTTCATCTGTAGGCCCTCACACCTGCCGCAACACTGATAAAAATGCACAACAGCCTACAAGACCTCATTCCACTATTACTCCACATCGAGAATGATTACTATTTATAACCCCTATCATACCTCATATATAGAGTTCATGGTTACCCTATTATCCTTTATAATATATTTCTAGTATTATGAGTTTTTATAGTTATTGATATATTTTAAAACAATGTATGTTTTATCAAGATAAATCAAATTTTTTACATGCAAATAGTTAGCTTGTTTTATTTTCATAAGTTATGAAGTAATAAGGCTTGCTGGGAATTGGAAAATCTGTTTGTCCAGTAACATGCTCCTCACGTCATCGGTTTGACCTTATTTGGAAAAGGCCCGTTGAGTGAACTTGTGAGGGGTGAGTTGCAGGTTTCTTTCTGTTTAGTGTGGGATCAAGCATGTAAGCTGCGATTGTTACCTTTTGTCTGCTGGAAAATGCGCAGTTACTGTAACCTGTCTGTGTAATGTCTCTGCACGCTTTGCCGCTGTGTTGATAAAGGATCATTAGGCCTATATGCGATTGTGTGATCATACCTATAGACTTATGAGTTGCTGTGCTTATCTTCATGGCTATAGTTCTATGTTTATGTCATGGTGTCTCTCTGTGTTTTGATTTGTTAGTGTAAGCTGGTTGGGGGAATTCTGTGGCTGTAGCTCTGATTAATTTGGCGTTCAGGCAGCCGCTGTCCATGGCTTTGATCATAGGATGGTTTGTCAGGGCCCAAGGACAATATTTGCACTGGGACCCAGCATAAGTAAGTTACGCTGCTGAACCAAAGTGGTTCTCTTACCTAAACCCAACCACATGTGGGATACAGGACACACACATTGGTCTCCACTGTCACAGTCCTGCAGTTTGTTAGCAGTTAATACAGGTAATGAGTGGAGAACAGGAGGGCTTCTTAAAGAAGAACTAACAGGTCTGTGAGAGCCGGAATTCTTACTGGTTGGTAGGTGATCAAATACAAATTAATTATTTAAAAATCATATAATGTGATTTTCTGGATTTTTGTGTTAGATTCCATCTCTCACAGTTGAAGTGTACCTATGACAAAACATTACAGACCTCTACATGCTTTGTAAGTAGGAAAACCTGCAAAATCAGCAGTGTATCAAATACTTGTTCTCCCCACTGTATATGTACAAAAATCATGTGAGTATTTTATATAAATTTCCTGTCTTAAATCTTCCTGTAAAAGTGTTTTGAGGACTTATCTTGAACTCTGTGGCAGTTACATACAATCAAATTTGATTTGGGGTACTAGCTAACCCCGCCCATCATACAAAAACACACTTGATTGTTAGTAAGATATTTTTCTGTTTGCTACCCACACAAGCTAATTATGTGGGTGAGGTCTAATTCATTTTCACTTATCCTCCTCCTCTTGATCCATGTGTGCCCCCTTTTCTCAGTCCTGTCAATTTCAAGGTTTGGATTTATCTCTCTCTTGTAACTGGACCCTTTCCACATATTACTCGCAAAATATAAAATGTAAAATTTGTCCTGAGAGTAGTGTTCGTGTGAAAGTTTATTCACAATGTTCTAGGCTAAAATATGCGCCAAAATTTCATTGTAATCCCAATCCAATGCTAGATATTCATTTCAATATATTTTGCGTATTTTAGGCAGATGGTGGTGCAAGAGGAAGTAGCAGGTGGTCAAAAAAGAAATTAGGGTTTATCCTCCTAGAACCAAAAATGTCTACACCAAATACGAGATGACCTGGCCTGTAGTTGTAGAAATATCTTGCTCTAGAAAAAATAAAAAATAAAACACATACAAAGATGGAGTCTGACTGGCAGTAGTAAGGAGGGGGAGGGGTAGACAGATTACAGTTGATGGTTGTCTTCATGCGGACTTCATGCTATTCATTCTCTGTAGAATATTTACATGATGGTTCACTGGCCTAATGCACGGCTGGGCACCATACAGTTTCATACTTGCAATGTAACGCCATTTACTGAAACATTCAGTGGAGAAGGCCAGAAGAGACCATTCTACACCCATCACACACACACATCTTGTTCAGCAGGGAGCAACACAAAACAAAGTGTGCTTCTATAACTAAACCATGTTTGCTAGGTCATGAAATATTTCAATTACACAGCAAGTAGTGTCTACAGAGTCATAGACATCTTGCACTATTTATGTTTTGCTATTCCCAATGCATTAAATGAAGTGTGTTGTTGTTGTCATACCACTGTGGTCTACAACAAGGGTCGGCAAATAAGTCTGGCATCTGGCCAAATTTTTTTCAAGTTATTAGTTGTCGGGCCAGAACATCGTCAATTGACCATTTATATTCCAACATTTTCTATAAGCACAGACGGAGCCCTCTATTGGACTCTATGGGTACTACCTCCTCCAATTACACGCACACACTTGCCCACTGAAATTTTATTGTACACGTAGCTGACCAATAGGACGTCGCTACCGATACGTGCGTGATGTATAAATAGCAGTGTTCCTTCTGCCTCAGCATCCGACTGCATCTTCAGCAGAAGGCATCAGAGCGGCAGGGCTCATCGGTAGAGGGCTCCGCCTGAGCTTATAGAACTAGGGTTACCATATTGTAACCTTCGTTCTATCTCACACAGGCTGATGACTGTCCACCCTAGCCGCAACAAGCCAAAGCCCACCACAGGGCGGCCAAAGCCCCAACCACCACATCAGTGACAGAATGGTGGGACAGCCCTGAGAAGGCCGCTGGACTGATAGGGGCTTGCCCTGACCATTAACACCTGGACTGCCCTGACTTCTCACTGAAACGTCAGGCACTGCCAGTGTATGTTCCCCCTCTACACCCAGTAGTCACCAGATCCTAGGTCGCACTTCTGAGCTGGAGAAGGAGCGTGACATGTCCAAGAGATAGAAACGCACAAATGGGCACAGTAAGGGCCAAGATGACATTGTGCAGATTTCTTCGACACACACCCCGCGACAAAGGGTCGTAGACACTTCCACACTTCCAAGTGGAATGTGCACGCACCGCTAAAGGTGGGTCTGTTTCCGCCCGTGTACAGGCTTGGGAGACTCACAAATCCAGCTGGCCAGGCTCTTCTTGGACAGGGTTTTACTGACTGCATTTTGTATTTATATAATTTTAGTATTATTATTATATTATTATTATTATTATTATTATATGTTTTTAAAGGAATCACTACCAAATGAGTAGCTTGTGCATATCGAAGCATCGGTCCTGCAGTATTTGCCAATCCCCAATTCCCAGGTAGTCAAATGATGACACCTCGGCGGCTCATACAGATGCTCATGGCACCCTTTAGCGTCCATATGAGATGAACTGGGCTACCCGAGAGACTTTAGGAAGTCAGGTGACGTAGTGTAAAAAGTCAAACAAACACAGGATTAATTGAATTTTAAGGTACATAATGTTACGTCACATGTGTCACCAATGTCACTTGATGTACTTATTTTAACACAATAAACCATGATCTTTTTCTAGTATTTTTGTTTTGCCTAACCAAACTGTGACCGTTTCACAACCAGGTATAAAAAAGGTGTCCCATACAGACGCTAAAGAATACTTATGTGTCTGTATTTTTGTTTGATCTAAACCATAGTC